AATTCTTAATGACTTGCTTAATGACCGTTCAAAGTTACAACTGACTCCAAAGAAGGTACTTATGACCCATCCTTGAAGTTACCACTCACACACACACACACACACGACATCACATTTTTGGCAAAGCGAGTGCAGAAAAGGGGGAGAACATAAAAGAAAAATAACGTAACAAATAAGAAATATAAAGAAATAGCTTCCCTCTTTGCCTCAATAAATATAAACCTTTTTAACAACATATCACTTCCTTTTAAAATACAACAAATCATCTCTTAACTGTCCCACCTGGTCTGTCAGTAAACACAACCTTAAAATCACACGATTCAGTCCTGGTTAGCAAAAATCCATTAAGGCTTGGTAATATTATTGTTGTAATTAATCTTGAATCATGGCAGTTTTGGAAAGGAGAGAGTCCTATTGTGCCGTTTCCTCTCTGTTTTTCTTAGGCTTATGTTCCCTGTCCATAAACAACGATAACTGTTACCTGGCCTATCCAGGGAGCGCGACCATCGGTGAAGTCCAAGTGTTTGACACCATCAACCTGGTAAGATCCTGCAGGTTTCCGCCATGCTCTGACTCTGAAAATTGGAGGCGTCTTGGGTGGGTGGGAGGTCAGGAGCCACCATTCTGCCCTAAGTGTCACGATTCTGACAGATGAAACTCTTCAAAAGAACTTCGAGGCATTGTTTACCTTAAAGGATCTTTTATTCGAGTAGCATAATATCGGCACTTACACAATCGAAGCCAAAAACTGAATTCCCCTCCCCTGGGCACATAGTATCCAAGCACAATTCCCTCCTCCAATTAACAGTCATAAATCACATTCCCCAATTAGCTTGAAGCCGGGGCTTCCTCTCCAGCTCTCCATCCCACCAATTCTTTATCAGCTCTGGGCTCAATAACCTTGATTCTCACGCTATGTTTGGTGTTGTTATGTCTAGCTAAACTCTCATTCACATCCCCCCCTCCAGCATCATCTAATTCTAAAAGCGACAGAGAAAAGATGGCTACATTTCCATCTGTTGTCAATGCAAAAACATCCAATGTTTAGCAACGTTGACACTAAGGTCTTGTGTTCCGTTCTCCTGCTTCCCCACAGAGAGCTACCAACATGATCCCCGCCCACGATAGTCCGTTGGCTGCCCTGGCTTTCGACGCAAGCGGTACAAAGCTAGCCACCGCCTCAGAAAAGGTGAGTTCCTCATCCCCTCCGTGGAAGAAAAAAAGGGAAGCTTGAGTTGATCCAGAGAGATTCAAGTGAATCAGACAGGCAGAGAAACCAAGCGGTCACTTTGAGAAGGTGGCTTTGATGGCTTTGAAAGGGGGGCTTCTTTCTTTCTTTCAACAGGGTACGGTGATCCGAGTATTTTCCATTCCAGAAGGGCAGAAGCTCTTTGAATTCCGAAGAGGGATGAAGAGGTGATGTGTGATTGCCGTCTGAAGATGGTTCTGGGAGGAGATTGAAGGCTGCGTGAACTGTTCTGTCTCCACAAGTGGTCCTCCCTCCCTCCCTCCCTCCCTCCCTCCCTCCCTCCCTTCCTTCCTTCCTGATTTGGGGAGACTGTCTCTCCCCTCCAGAGCCTTTGCCAGCATCTTGTGGCCTCAGTAGGGCAGGCATAAGAGGCAGGGAGCAGGGAGGAGCTACCTGCAACAGACCCTCCGTGGTTGACCCGCTGTCTGTCTCTTGGCTTCCTCCCTCCAGGTGTGTCAGCATCTCTTCATTGGCCTTTAGCATGGATGGCATGTTTCTGTCGGCTTCCAGTAACACCGAGACGGTGCACATTTTCAAATTGGAGACTGTGAAAGAGAAGTAAGTCTGGGGAAGGCAGGGCGATCTCCGAATTGGCTTGAACACGGAGAGACAACTGGCTTCATTCTCAGGAGTGACTGCAGGATCCCTTCCCAGAGAAAGAAAAGTTGGGGTGGGGAAGCAGAGGGGCGTCGATTGTGTCCTGGGCTGCTTCTGCCTGCAATTTTTTTTGGGGGGGGGGGGATTAGGTTGTGGTTTCCTGCAGCAGCGAAGTCCCATAAAACTCCTCTTTGAAAAGAAGAGCAATCCCCAACTTCTTGGATGGATGCTCGTGTCTTTAGGGGACAATGTTGACGACCGTCTTTCTTCCCTTCCACCCTTCCAGACCTCAGGAGGAGCCCACCACTTGGACGGGCTACTTTGTGGAGACCATTCGGACGTTCCCAAACTACCTGCCTGCCCAGGTGACCGAAATGTTCAACCAAGGCCGAGCCTTCGCAACGGTCCGGCTCCCCTTCTGTGGGCACAGAAACATCTGCACCTTGGCCACGTGAGTAGCAGCACGGGAAGGGTGGTCTTTGGCCACAAGAGCTGCCTTCAGGGGAGACGGAGGCTGATGGAGCACCCTGGGGGTTCCAGCTTTACAATTGGGCAGTGTTGATCATAGTTACATGGATATCCTTCAGAATACAGCCTTGAGGCGACTCCTTTTCTTTCTTTCTTTCTTTCTTTCTTTCTTTCTTTCTTTCTTCCTTCCTTCCTTCCTTCCTTCCTTCCTTCCTCTCTCCTTCCTTGCTTCCTCTGTCCTTCCTTCCTTTCTTCCTTCCTTCTTTCCTTTCTTCTCTCTGAGCTTGGTGATTTTCTTGCAGACATTTCATTACCAACCTAGATAACATTATCAGTGCTAGAAGGGAGCGGGGTTTGCAGAAAGGCGGGGGGAGGGAGAAGACTGCGGGGTTCTTGGCACTCTCTGAGCCTGGTTGTTTTCTTGCAGACATTTCATGACCCAACTAGGTAACATTATCAGTGTTAGAAGGGAGTGGGCTTTGTGGAAGAGGAGAAGGAGGAGGTAAAGGAAGACTGTGGGGTCCTTGGTGCTCTCTGAGCTTGATGGTTTCCTTGCAGACGTTTCATTACCAACCTAGGTAACATCATCAGTGCTAGCTGATGAATCTTTAATTCCTCCTAGAATTCAGAAAATCCCTCGATTGTTGGTAGCGGCTGCCGATGGATACCTCTACATGTACAATTTGGACCCCCAGGAAGGGGGTGAATGCACACTGATGAAACAGCACAAGTGAGTCCTCTCCCTCACTATCTTTTCCCCAAACTCTTCTTTGAGGGTTGGTCCTAAAGACACAACATGGGCTTCCAAGTTGGGGGGGGGGCACAGAGCTTCCCACACGTCTGTTGAAGTGATCTTTGGCGATAGTAAAGAATAAGACCTGAGCATACGTTTTCTTCAAGTATTCGGTCATGTCTGAAAACCGATATAGACATGGTTCTCGAGTTAACGACCGAGAAACGGCCATTGTGGACAGTGGATTGCTCCACCACTGCGGCAGTCACTTAACAACTGCAAATAAAAAAAGAAAAGAAAAGGAATCGTGAAATCAGGTCAGTTACATCAGGGGTCCTCAACCTTGGCAATTTTAAGACTTGTGGACTTCAACTCCCAGAATTCCTCAGCCAGTTTTGCCAAGGTTGAGGACCCCTAGGTTACATGATGAGCCTTTAATGACCAATATAACTTATGCCCATAAATTCTGGGCTCAATTACACTCATAAAACGATTACATTTGTGTGCCAAAAATGATTACAATTAGACTCTGTTGGAGGAGTCTCTCTGATCTGAAATAAAGCTGGATCCTGCAAGTATGTCTTGAGTTTTCCTGCCCAACGTTGAGTTGTGCTGTTGATGCGACTGGGGCATGCTTTGTGATATCTCCCTGTCTTGTTTCCCTAGGTTGGATGGCAGCATGGAGCCAGCCAATGAAATCCTAGAATCTGCCTCCCATGACAGGCCGCTAGTAGCACAGACTTACAGTGCCGCTGTGACTAGGGGTGCTGCTTATATGCCTTCTTCACCCACAAGACATGGTAAGAACCTCTTAGAAACTTCCCACTCTGGGCTGAGACATTTGCAGGGATTCCCTGTCCTGTTAGGAAGAATAGAGGCTGAAACATATAAGGAACAATTGCTGGAACTGGGTATGTCTAGTTTAACGTAGAGAAGGACCAAGGGTGACAGGATGTCCAGTAACGACTTAAGGAGGGCTGCAAAACACCTCCCTAGAAACTCAAAAGAGCTCGTGTCTCGAATCCTTCTAAAGTTGGACAAGGAAGGATCCTAAAGGTGCTTTTCCAAAAGGCAACTGGATTTTTTTCCCCTTCCTTTCGCTTCTCATCCAATAAGCTTCTCCAGTTCTGAACTGAAGAAGCTTCTTGGTTGAGAAGCAAAACATTTTCAAGTGGGGAAAAAAACAAGGGGAAAAAAAAGCATCTTTGGGACAACCCTGACCTTGGATGGTGGAGAAGGTGCATGTTTCTTCTGAACGGTGTCTCCTTTCCATCTTCCTTCAGTCTATAACGAAGATCTGGGGGCCGTCGGGGGTGTTTGCCTGGAGGACGACATCAGCTCTCTGCGGCTAGACGAGGATGGTGAACATCCTCCCATGATCCTTCGGACTGATTGAACTTCAACCTGTGAATTCCACTCCCAAAGCTGAGAACGTCAGCCTGACGCTTCTGGAGGACTTGTGTCGACGCTGCTGCGGACTTTGGCCTGAACCAAGAGTGTGATCCTTGAAGGAGACAGACTTCCCTCTGAAATAGTTTCAAAGCGAAACATGCATATACACACAGACACACACACGCCCCACCCTAGCTTTGTAGCGCCGATTTCCCTTCCATCCAAGGTGGAAACGCACACCTGGATTTCACCTGGGTGGCGCCCCGCTTTTTTAGCCGTCAGGAAATAACCCGTATATTTTTGTTGTTGCCAAAAAAAAAAAAAAAAAGCCCACCCCCGCTATTTATTCGGCACCTTTGAGCTTTGCATGCCTCCTTGTGCCAAGTGAACATAGGCGAGCCAATAGATTTTATAACAGTTTTTTTTATTATTACTATTTCTAAAGAAAGCAAGTTTGTGAACTTCACACTGGGCATTGGCGAGGGAGAGGAAGAGCAGCATTGTCGAGCTCAAGACACTTTAGCTTCTTCTGCCTGGACAAGAAAAATAATAATTTTTTTAAAAAAAAAAAAACGTTTTGTTTTGCGCACGGCTTAACAGGCGTGCCTGGTGAATTTGACTCACTACTTTTACTAAAGATCAAGCGGTTCCCTTCCGAATCTTTCCCGCCTCTCCTCCATGATCCATTTCCTCCGCCTCTTCTCTGATTTGTATCATTTTGCTTTCTTCCCGGCTCCTCAGACCATTTTGATAATTAAAACTCCTCCTGATTCTGCCTCGTTTGTGGGAGTGTGGTATTTTTCTCTTCCAACCTGACCAGGGACCTTGTTTTTCCAAGCATCTTCCACCATAAAGATAAGGCTTTGATCAGCCAAGGAGAGAGAGAAGGGAAGAGAAAGCTTTCTCTGTCTTTTGGGGCCATTTTTAAAAGCTGTGTGAAGCCAGGAATCCTGGCTTAGTAGATCACAGTCGGTTGCATATTGACAGCACGCGACAAGGCAGTGGAGAAATCTGAATTTTGAGAGCAACAGATGAATTGGAAAAATCTGAAAGTGCACACATGGGCAACCTCTTTGTCTTGGAATCTGTGTGAACTCCAAAGTTGCTGGGATCTGGGTCTCTCTAGATTCCTTTCTCCGTTTTTGAACGTAGATGTCTTGAGATCCTAGTTTAAGCCAGCTTCTGCGTAATTTGTCTACACGCTTGGGCTTGACATACAAATCTGTCCTGCTTTTATTTGCTTGCTTGAAGAGTGAAGGAAACGGGCTGCTTGTTACCAGCATCATGGTTTGTTATGTCTAATTTCTCCTGGACTTCATACGATGTCATAACCTAGCTAGCATGTTGAGTTTAACAAGTGTTCAGTTGTTAACCAGAAAGTATGTTCCTCCTCCGGTTAGTTTTGTCCAAGCTGTATAAATCTACTTGTCTCAGTTTGAAATCCTTCCCTGTCTGTCACTTTCTTAAACTCTTTTTGAGAAATTTGTCAATTTGTCTAGATCCGTGCTGGGTTTTGTTTTCTGCTGATGGACAAACCTTACTTATTTATTTTGTTTCTCCAGTCTTCAGAGCAGAATCAGCTCCTGTGGATTTCAACCTTAACCTCTTACTTCCACCTTCCTTCTCTCCGGAGGTTCATCTCTATATTTGGCATATTGTCGTGCTGTGCCTTTTCCCCTCCATCGCAACTGCCACCAACAGTTGCTCTGGGAGATTAAAAGGGTGAAGCCTGAACTTTGGGGTGTCTTCTGAAGGGCGTCTTCAAAGCTCATTTCTAGCATGTTAATGAAGGCCCACGTGTCCTCCTTAAGTTGCGGCTCAAGGTATAGACAATCATGTCCCTGTGTCATTTTTTTTTCTTGGTTGCAGCTCTTCTTCTTCCTCCTCTGGAAGTGTTACATGGCCTACTCTCACTTCCAGCAGCCTGCACAAAGGTTCTTGTGTCATGGGGTGGGGGGGAAGAAACAAGCTTGTTTGCAACTGCCAGGACTTGGATGAAAGTGTGACCAAAATCGGAAGGGAAAAAAAAAACTGCCTTTTCTTTACTGAGCTGTAATGTGCCTTGTTTTGTTTTGAACCTTTGAGATTTGTTTCTGTGCGCCAAGAAGAAAAATTATGTGAACGTTTTTTTTTTCTTTTTTCATAGAATGTTAGCCATCTTGGGGTTGTTGTTTTTTTCCCTCTCTTTTCCTCCTTTTGATTAAATTATCACTCAATCTTCCTCTATTGTGACCTTCTCTTCTGGAAATGAAAATGAATAAAAACGTTTGCTGAAAAAAAATACAGGAAAAGAAAGACTGGAAAAATATGTCTTTGCAAAGAGGAAAAACGTTTCTTTCTTACAAGACTTCGTTTCTCCGCCTGTTTTTGTCTCAATTCAGGGTTTTTGTGTTTTTTTTTACTTTTGTTGAATTGATTGAAATGAGATCCTTAAAAGTGCACTGGGAATTTCCCAGTTGCCAGGATGGGGCTGAAATTCAGATTTCAGGAAAGGGTCATAATAAGCCAAGCTTTCCCAGAATTGAAAGCCCTGTAATTGACCACAGGACCACTAGATGTTCTGGGTGGGTGTGCCTTAATACAAAACAAAATTTGCATACACGGCTTTAAATACAGTTACCTCGGAGGAACCTTGTTTTATTGCAATGTGAGATACTCTGATGTTTTGGGTGGATTCTGGGAGTTGAAGTCCACAAGTCTTGAAGTTGCCAAGGTTGAGGACCCCTGTATCAGAAGATACATCCCAAGAGAGCCCCTTTGAGGTTTGAGCTGTCCAAGGTCCTGAAAGTCCCCACAGTTGCTGACCTGTCAATGAACCACAAGAACTTTTCTCCACCTGAAGTTCTCTACTTGTTCTATAATGGCCGATGTTTCTGCCAGTTATACATGCAGAGACTGCGCAGTGCAGCTGAGGACCGTTGAGACTGAGGAAGATTGCCGTCCCAGTCGTCCAGTTGATCCCCACTTTAGGTCAGGTAGGGCACTTCTCAAACCAGGAATACCTGAGAAAGCTAATTTTTTTGGAAAAAAGAAAAAAAATCATGAAATAAACAGGCTTGTTTTCCTCCAGTTAACATACAGAACAATTTAACCATTTTTGTTTTGTCCTGATACTTAGGAAAGAGTAGATCCTTTACTCATCTATTTACTTACAGGACCTATACAGCTGCCTATTTATGGGCAGGAGGCCTTTATTTTGTGTAATAAATTTATATGCCACCCATCTCACAATCAAGCGACTCTGAGCAGCTTACAGCAGTTGTGATCAAAGACCCACATCCATTCCTACTTAGGTTGTGGGTGCAAGTGAAAGGGTGGGGTGCAATCAAGCAAACCCCACTAAGCTGTGATTTAATCACAATAAGTCTCTCTCTCTCTGTGTGTGTGTGTGTGTGTGTGTGTTTGTGCTGTCACAGAGCAATAAACCTAAATCAAATGTCTAGCCAGGCTTGAATCAAGTAGATATATCTATGGCAGCAAGCCTGCCAGCCTCTTGACAAGATGTTGAGAAGAGAAATGTCCGCCAGAATAAAAACGCTACGTTGACCACAGATAACGGCAGCTGAGTAACAAAACGCCGGACTTGTACATTGTGGCATCCACCAGGCACAACACAACTGGTGGCAGGATGCAACCTGCCTTGGCAGATGGTACCTAACCACCCTCTGATTGTGCCTCCCCTCATCCAGTCACATCCGATCGTGCCCACCTTACGTTCCCAACATTTTGAAAGCCATTTTACTACGCAGAGAATTTGGTCCTATTTGCCAAGACTCATCAAGCCAGCTTAATTGCCTGCAGATATTACTTAGAGCAGGTGTGTCCGACCTTTTGGCTTACCTGGGCCGCACTGAGTGATGGGGAATTGTCTTGGGCTGCATCTCCAGGAAGTCCTCAGCTTAACAACCATTCATTTACACTCCCTGTACTTCAACCATCTCGTCTGTTCTTTCTCATTCCCACAGAAAGATTCCAGCAAATTGCATCTCTTTGATTATCAAGCCGAGGCTCCATCAATACACGAAGCGCTGCCAAAGCAACAAACCAGGCTAGATCGAAGCGCTGCCAAAGCAACAAACCAGGCTAGATCGTGCCTTGTTGCAATCCATGCCTTCCCTAGCAACCTCCACCCCACGGGTCTCTGTCCATAGGCTTGGTTGTCAATGGTGCTCCAGATGCAGAGCTGAAATATACTCTCTTCTCTAGTGTTTGCACCCGTTGTAAATTTCTGGCCTCGCTGGGGAGAAGGGCTGTCGCCCGCCAAGGAAAAAACATCTGAGTTACACAATGTTGGTCCTTGCCTCTGTTGGAAGGTGACATGAGCACCCACGGTGTCAGCATTATTGCCATGACAACTGCAGACAGTCTTTCTGAAGCCCTCTTCTGCTTTTCATCACCAGAGCAAGGCTATGTCCTGAGCGGAGGAAGAGACAGAACCAGCCTAATAGAGCTTAACTTAATCACGGTGAGGATAAATTAGGTTTCTGTCCCTTATGAGCCAGATGGCAATTAACGGTTAGGGCAAAAAAGAAGAGCTAAAAAAAAAAAAAATGCAGTCAGATTTGTCAGGCGTCCCTGAATACTCAGACTTGTTGGCATGAAATGGGGTTGTTTTTGCTCTGCCATTTCCTTGCCTCGTTGGCAGTTTTCCTGGCACTGTCTGGTTGTAGGTAGCAGGGATTGGTTGAGTTTTCTCCGTGATTCTTAGGATTGCAAAGAGGCATGTTTGTGACCCGTGGAGGCCTTGGTGTTCTCTGCATTTGGTAATATTCTTGCAGATGTTTCATTATCCAACTAAACAATATCATCAGTGCTAGAAGGGAGTTTGTGGAGAGGAGGAGGAGGAGGAGGAGGAGGAAGAGGAAGAAGAGGAGGACTGCACGGTCCTTGGTGCTCTCTGAGCTTGGTGGTTTTCTTGCAGACGTTTCATGAGCTGACTAGGTAACATCATCAGTGCTAGGAGGGAGGGGGGGTTGCAGGGAGGAGGAGGACTGTGGAGTCTTTGGTGCTCTCTGAGCTTGGTGATTTTCTTGCAGATGTTTCATGACCCAACTAGAGAACATTTCATGACCCAACTACAGAACATTATCAGTGCTAGAAGGGTGTGGGGTTTGCGGAGAGGAGGAGGAGGAGGAGGAGGAGCGGAGGACAACTGTGGGGTCCTTGGTGCTCTCCGAGCTTGGTGGCTTTCTGGCAGACGTTTCATGATCTGACTAGGTAACATCATCAGTGCTAGAAGGGAGTAGGCTTTGCTCTCTTTGCCATCAACCCTTTGAAGTTACACGGGGGGGGGAATTGACCCACAACCAGCACTGGCACTTACAACCATCGCAGCATCCCCAGGATCACGTGATCAAAATACGGGCGCTTGGCGACCAGATACCTATTCGTACGACCCAATTCTGGTGGTTAAGTCGAGGAGGGACCTGTAGCTGCTTCATGCAAAGGCTCCTGTCTTCACCGCGGCTGTTTGCAAAAACCTCCATTTTGTGTCGGTGGCTGCCAAGGCTCCCTCCCTCCCCGTTGCAGCAGGAAGGCGGCTGAGCTTATCAATCCCGTAATTAATTTCCTGCCTCGCCTTTGGCCAGCTCTTCCGAGAGCAGCAGATGTGTCTTCTGTTAGGCACTGCTGTGGTGCAACAAACAAACAGCAGTGCCTGTTGCCCGACTGAATGTCTGCCACAAGGATGGGGGGGGGATGTGTGTCTGTGTGTGTCTGTGTAAGAAACCATCGCCAAATTTGGAAGACGCTAAAACCCCTAATTGGTGACATTTTTCACCCTGGTAGGGAGCAGGTCCAAAATAAGATATTTAATGGCTTATTTGGAAGGGGGGGGGGGGAGATACGACAGAATGTTCTGCTCAGGGAAGGTGTCTGGAAGACAACAATGTTGTCAAACATTGTCAACAATTGTTCTTTCTTTCTTTCTTTCTTTTTCTCCTCCTCCTCCTCCTCCTCCCTTGAAACTTCACTCCCTTCTATCACTGGTGGTGTTACATAGTTGGGTAATGAAATGTTTGCAAAAAAACCTACCAATCTGAGAGCATCAAGGATCCCACTGTTATTGTCCTCCTCCTCCTCTTCTTCCTCCTCCTCCTCCTCCTCTTCCTTCTTCTACTCTTGTATGAAAACTCCTGTTTTCATACTACTCTTCCTTCTTCTACTCTTCTTTCCTTTTTTCGTTATTTCCTTCTTTCCACCTTTTTCTTCTTCTCCTTTCCTTCTTCTCCTTCCCCTCCTTCCCTTATTTATCTTTCGTTTCCTGTTTCTGCTTTCCTTTTTTCCTCCTCCTCCACCTCCTCTTCCTCTTTCCTTCTCCAGTTCCTGCTTTCTTTTCTTTCTTTCTTCTCCTGCTTTCTTTCTCTCCTCCTCCTCCTCTTCTTTCTTTCTCCTATTCCTTCTTTCCTCCACCCCAAAAGGACCCAAAAGAGAAGACCAAAGAGCCTCTCCGCTCTCAGCTGCAAGGCCAGTCTATCATCTGCCAGACCACCAGTTCCCTATGCTGGAAGAGAGTCACCAAAGAATGGAGGAGAAACGTGTTCCTTGCATTCGCCTTTGAGCCCTTCCTTGCATCTGTGAAAGCAGGGGTCTTTAAAGTTGGCCCTTTTATGACTTGTGGACTTCAACTCCCAGAATTAGAAGACAACCCCCCCCCCCAAAAAAAACTCCAGCCCCAAAGCTGTACCCTCCCCCTTCTCCGCCTTGGGCTGCTCCCTCTTTTGGACCCCTCTCTTTTCTTTCAGAACTGGGGCAGCCCCCCACGCCGACGGCGTTCAGCCTCTTGGAAGAGAGACGGGCCATCGGGGGGGGGGGGGAAGCATCGCGCTGCTGTCTGGTTAACCCCCACCCCCACCTCTCCCCCCAAATCCACCCATCAATCAACTTGGAAACAACCCCGTTGCATTGCACGATTCGGCCTGGCGGAGAAATTCACGGTGGTTTTCCATCTCCGTTCGCAGCTTCGGGGCTCAGAGGATTTCCTTGGGCAAGACAGAGGCTGTCTGGGGCGGGGTGTGGGTGGGGGGCAATCTCTGCCGTTCCTTTTTTTTGGGGGGGGGGGACAGAGAAAGAGAGAGAAGCGATTCTCCCAGGCTCAGCGAAGGCGCAAACCAGGAGGCGAGAAAGAGAAAGCGTCTCGGAGGAGGAGGAGAGAAAGGCGGGGAGGGGGGAAGCAGAGGGCTGTCCCTGGCCCCCCACCCGCGCGTCCCCCCACCCGGTCGCCCCCTCCCTAGAAGGAGCGCGCCTGGAGTAGCCCATGGAAAGTCGCCCGGGGCAGGCGAGGGCTGGCCGGCTGGTGGAAGAGCCGGGACGCCGCTGAGAAGGAGCGGAGGGCGCTGCGGCAGCAGGCAGGAGCAACGCCGGGGCCGGCTGCCAGCAGTCCGGGCAAGGGGTGAGAGCCCGAGCCGGCCGTGGGGACGAGGAAGGGGGGGGAAGAAGAGGAAGGAGGGAGGGGGCGCGGGTGGGTCTCGCGGGGCGCAGAGGGTCACCGGGCGCGCAAACCTGTTGGCGCCGCATCCTAGGGAAAGGGTCTGGCCTTTGTGTCCGACGGAAGGGGAGGGGGGAAAGGAGGGGGGATGGGGGTTGCGGGACCGTGGGGGGGGGTCGTGAGACCCTCAAACTAGAATGCGGTGGAGAGCAAAGTCCCCCAGCCCCATAAACAAACAGCCTGGGTGGGTGGCCTTTACTCCTTTTCTGAGAAACCCATCCACCCCCCTCCCCTTGGCAGAGGTCCCCCAGAGCCTGCCCCCCCCCCGAGCTTCAGCCCCTCCTCTCTCAGCCTGCCTGACTTCTCCAACCTGGCACCCCCTCAGAACATGTCTGGGTCCTTCTGGCTGGTGATTTAGGCAGCTGGGAATCCAAGCTGGCACAGGGCAATCAGGTGGGGAAGGCACCTGTTAGGGGGTGCCTCCTTCCCCCATTGCCTTCATGGATCTAGACAGAGAGATCCCATTGGGTTGCACTGGAAGAGACCTCCTAAATCCGGCTTTTAGGATCCCCATCCCAATCTGGACCTTTTTGTTCCATCAAGGAGACCTTTGGCAAAGGATTCAGTTGGCTAGATGGAGCCCAAGGGCCAAGGCAACTGGCACATAAATTGTCCACAAGATAAATGAAATGGGGTTTGAAGAAACATCTTCCCACATTTCTCTGGATGTGTCTTTGGACAAGGATTGCAGAAGGACAGCCAAGCAAGGTGCTTTTCCCATGTTCTACTCATAACAGGACTGAGCAGAAGGAGCCCCAAAATTTAGACCAGGGTTTCTCAACCTCAGGAACTTTATGATGGGGGCTCCTTGGTGCTTTCTGAGTTTGCTTGTTTTCTTGAAGATGTTTCCTGACGTGACCCAACTAGGTACTTCATTGGTTCTGGAAGGGAGTTGGGTTTGCAATGTGAGAGGAGGAGGAGGAGCAGGAGGAGGAGGAGGAGCAGGAGGACTATGGGATCCTAGGTGCTTGGTGGTTTTTTTGCAGATGTTTCATTACCCAACTACGTAACACCATCAGTGATGGAAGGGAGTGTGGTTTCAAGGGAGGAGGAGGAGGAGGAGGGAGGAGGAGGAGGAGGAGGAGGAGGAGGAGAACTATGGGATCCTAGGTGCTCTCTGAGCTTGGTGTTTTTCTTGCAAATGTTTCATTACCCAACTTCGTAACACCATCAGTGATGGAAGGGAGTGTGGTTTCAAGGGAGGAGGAAGAGGAGGAGAACTGTGGGCTCCTTGGTGCTCTCTCGTGTTTTGTTTCCTCATTGGTTAAAAAGAGTTAACGTAAGGATAATTAAGCACAACTTCACCCCACTAATAATGCCAACTGTAGATCTTCCTAAGAGCAACTCAAGCTTGAAAGAAAATGATCTCCTTCCAGAAAAGAGAGCATCAAAGGAAGCTAGTAAGATGGAGCTTGAATTTTCAGCTAGATACCTTGCCATATCCCCCCCCCCCGAGAAAGGGAGGGGAGAAGCCTGTTTGTTTTTCTACTCTGCAGATAAAAAGAGGATTGTGAAGTCGGCTAGTACGAATGTAGTGCTCCCTATTGTCAGGACCTAGAAATTAAAAATCTTACTCAGATGTTATTCCCGGAAATCGGTCGAGCGAGCGTCGCGCTTATCAACGGTGCAAATTTGCATGTAGGAAAAACTGAAGGGCCAGGTGTTAGGGCAGGAAAATAACGTTATTCCACAGTCAATTTCTGACTTCTGGACATCTGGTTGACTAGAACCTTGGTGAGGCACTTTGATGGTGAACAAAAGAGGTAAAATCCTACTAGGATGTGTTACTTCTGAAGACTTGTTTCCAGGGGAAGGATAAGTTTGACCAGGAATAGCAAGGCAGCCTTTTAAAAACCTTTAGAAGCGTAGACTTTCTCTTCCCAGAATTCCCCCTTCAACCTGATCATGACTAAGAACTCTGGGAGTTGAGGTCTAGAATACAATGAGGTTGGAGTAGAACAGCTTAAGCAATTATTGCTTGAATGGAGGAATGGATCTGATAACAGATGGGGTTTTTTAAACTCTCTGGGTCCTACAAAACATATTCTTCTCTGGTGCTTCATATACTTCCAATAGCTGAAAGATACTGACTCCACCCAGGAATAGTTGCCTTCAAAAAGCATTCCAGAATAATTTGATGTTGAACTTAATAACAGCAACAAGGTTATTGGTGGGGCAATATTGGAAGAAAGAGTCCTTGCCTACTATAGAAGAATGGACGTTTAAGGTGTCAAATTTAGCAGAAATGGCAAACATTTCTGCCTATTTGAAGGATCATACACAAGAAAGATATATTTCGGTTTGGAGAAGATGGATAGATTATATTCAGAATAAATATGGGATTAAAAAGTTTCATTTAGCTTATGAGTAAATTTTAGATTAGGACTGATAGTATAATAACTCATTTTAGATTTGGTATTACTATGGTTTAATTAATATTGACTTGTTTATATTATTCTTTTTGTCTTAATTTGCTTATATTTATCTTAAATGGGAGTTAAAGTATTTTATGGATTTGGTTACTTATATAGTTGGGTAATGTTAATTAGAATTTGATTATTAATTTGTAACCCTGTACTCAGCTCTGGGAAGTGGGGGGACGGTTAGGGGTGGGTGGGTTTTGGGATATTGTATACTGTATAAAACTTTTCAATAAAAAAAGCATTCCAGAATAAGGGTGTAATTCTGATGACACGCTAAGAAATGGGTGCAGATGGTGATCTTTTCTTCCAATGTCTAGGAGGTCAATAGCCATGGGTTCTGTAGGAGGAGACCACCACTTCAAGGAGGGAAGTCCAGTGGTGACACCTGAAGGGAACATCGTGATGAGCTTTAGTTTTGACAGCTATCAGCTGGAAGAAGAAGAGCTTCAGGAGAAGACAGGTCATACCAAAGGGGTCCTCACGTTCATGGAACCAGGTAAGAGTTGAAGAGATGGCTTGGGACCTCTCCAGATGTGGTTCCCATGGAGAGTGGTGCTTTTTTGGGATAGCCACTAAACTTCCTTCTGTGTTTTTATACGTTGTGATTCTCTTCTCCTACACAACCGTGTCTATTTATCTCCAGCTTAAGGACCTATGGATGGAGTGCTGTTTGAGTTCCCAGGATGATTCTCATTCAACCTGGCTTCCATTTTTCATAAAGTTGTTAATGATCATTGAGCTTCTTGCCTTCAATTGACAGTTTGGGTCTTCTCTGGTTTGTTCTGGGGAAATTCTTTCAATTTTCTTTCTCTGCTTGCCTTCGGTTAGAGCTGCGCTTAGAGTTGGGATTAAGAATCCCAAGGGTTTTAAAAGTATAGGATTGGATAGACAGGCGTTCAGAAGTTTTGTGGTCCTGGTTTTCAGTCCTTTGGATCTGAGGAGTGAATCCTAAGCTCAAACTGACAATCTTTATAGGTTTGTAAAAGGAAAGTTGAAGGAAAGTTGAAGGAAGAACATAAGGGCAGTCATAGTGTCACACCTGCCAGCACTTAAACCTCTAAGTAGAAATAATCCTTGGCCTATTTATCGAGAAAGGTATAATTTTCTTAGAAGTCAAGTGTATTGCAATAATGCATAGTCAGAACTGAGAATCACATGCCCAAATCCCTAAATTCAACTTTTTTCTCCCTTCACTGTCTCCCATCACTGACTCCATGGTGTATTCAGAGCGGTCACTTCAAGCTGCTATCTTCTCCCAGCCAGGTGACCTTGAGGCAGCATCTCCAGGAGATACAGCAGTTACTTTCATTTTTCCCCAAGCATCCCTCTTCCCATACTCTCTCCCCAGAGTTCACGACAGACTGTCACATGGTAGCAAAGCACAAGTAGGCATAAGGTGGCAGCTGACACCTAGTTTTACTTAGCAAACACTTTGCTTAACTTGTTACCTTTCTGTCTTTTGGGGGGTTTAGTCTGTGAAGACCCTGAACCTCAAGATTGCTACCATGGAATCTACTTTGCTATGCTTCTAGCGGGTGTCGGTTTTCTTTTGCCTTACAACAGCTTTATCACAGATGTTGATTACCTTCATCACAAGTACCCAGGTAGGTGTTTTTTTCCCTCTTCCAAAGTTTTCCAAAACCTTTGAAAGTCTTTTGTGGAGCTCTCTTATGGAATGAAAGCTATTATTAGAAGTAGGCATTGCAACTGATTTTCTACATACATTCACAACACACACCGTGAGTAGAAGGTTGTGCCTTTTGGGTTCCAACTTTCTCATAAGCTTTGGCTAGCATGGTTAATGCAAAGGGTTTGTGGTCCAAAACATCAGGAGAACCACAGATTTAAGGATTGAGAGACTCTAAAGCAGGGTGTTCATCCTTGCAACTTTATACCTGTAGACTTCAACTCCCAGAATTCCCCAGCCAGCATGGAATTCCGGGAGTTGAAGTCCACAAGTCTTAAAGTTGCCACAGTTGGACACCACTGCTCTGGAGATGTGTTTTTATCTGCAAAGTCCCACTTGTTCAATTGAATCCTGAGTTTGGTGTGCCTCTTTCTTATCCCAAGATAGTATTACTATATTGAGGTTGGAATAGCTGGATAACAAGATGAATTTATTATGGAATTATTGATAAAGCCTCCTTTTCTTCTTGCTCTTCATAAGGTTCCAACTTTTGTTGAACCTAAGGAACACCAAGAAAACTTCACTGCATATTTTTCCTTCCTTCCTTATTTTTTTTTATTAAATTTGTCTGTTACCTCTGATCCACCTTTTTTCACCCGTTTACACATCCCACAAAGCTGGCTTATGATTTTTTTGGTTTTGGTTTTGCATCTTGTGTGAACTTAATCAATGGTTATTCAATATACCCTTGTGAAGCAAGGCCCTGATTTAACATGATGAATGAACCAAGATATTGTGTCTTTCTGCAGGGACCTCTATTGTGTTTGACATGAGTTTAACCTACATCTTGGTAGCCTTGGTTGCTGTCATTCTCAACAATGTCCTGGTCGAAATGTTGAGTCTTCACACCAGGATCACCGTGGGTATGTTCAGAATCCCTTTGTCTTCTTCATCTCACTTCTTGGCTTCTGATCCTCACCAAGGAAGCTGTAGCCAGGGTTAGAATCTTCTATGTCTTATCTTCTCCATGTCTTCCTTCAAAGTTCCAGAAGGAAGCCATAGAGATGTTACCTGAATATTACTTATTCTCAATTATTTCCGTGGTGCAGAATATATATGCCAGAAGATAAACGTCTGGAATTTGTAGCATCCTTGTCTTTCTTTCGCAGCAAGCTTCTTTTTGCCCTATCGTTCATTTCAGGATATCTTTTTGCTTTGGGTCCTCTTCTCTTTGTGAGCATCTGTGACGTCTGGCTTGATCTCTTCTCCCAGCATCAAGCTTATGCTGTCAATCTCATGGCAGTGGGCGTGGTGGCCTTTGGTTGCACAGGTATGTGTGGGAACGGGAGCAGAAGCTTTCCCAGCCTTCCAGATGTCTAGGAACAGAGCTGTCCTTGGTGGAACTCATAAACTACGTCATTCTTGACCAAAAATGAGTCAGGGAGGTGGTGGAGAAGAAGTCCCTTAACGAAGATGAAATCTAATAAATCTAAGCCTAATACTTCCTGACTTAGGTGTCATAACTCTCCTTCTCCTTTGCTTGCTCAACTCTATCTCCCTTTCAAGTGCAGCAATCCAGTTTCTATGGTTACACCGGGATGCTGCCCAAGCGGTACACTCAAGGAGTGATGACGGGCGAAAGTAAGTATTGCCTTAATACAGTGCACTGAAGTTTGAAGGATGTGTAGCAAGACATCTCTATCAGCCTCTTAATAATTCATTCTTATTTCTGGGGCTGCCTTTCAAAATAGGAACATTAATCCCATTGGTCAACTCTAGATGAAGGCATTGAAAAATAAAAGAGTTAAAGGCAGCTGGAAAGTCGATATGGATCATCCTGAAATTAGTGACTATGTCCTTCTGGCTTGTGCTGGAGAGAAGAAGCCAAAAAGACCTCAAGAAGGGCCTCAAAGAACATATGGCCCGTATGAACATCTTGCCTGATGATGCTTCTCACCTCTCTGGACATGTGTAGAGTTTAAACCCTGCTTAACGTGGTTTCAGAAGAGGTTTACTAGCACTGACAATCAAAAGGCAACTTGGGAACTCCCCCGATTTTTCCTTCATAAATCTTGACAGTATTTAATGGGATGGACAGAGGAGATGGAGGAGCTGAGATATAGGAGGGACCAGGAAGACCTCTTGACCTTTTGTGAAGGAAAGCAAGCCTCCACAAACTCTGCAAATGCCATTGTCCATAGGGTGGTCTTAGTGCTAACACACACACTCCATGTCTCCCTTCCAGGTACTGCTGGAGTCATCATCTCCCTGAGTCGTATCTTCACCAAGCTTCTTCTGTCTGACGAGAAGGGGAACACCATGATCTTCTTCTGCATCTCCATTGGGCTGGAGCTCACTTGCTTCCTCCTCCACCTCTTGGTCAAACAAACCTACTTTGTCAGGTATTACACCTCCCGATCCCAGAACAAGGCCTCTGAGTTTAAAGGGTCGACGGACAACGGCATCGGATACAGAGTCCACCATGATGTCACTGCAGAAGACATCCGATTTGTAAGTTGTGGCCAGAAAAGTTTTGTGCTCCTCCTTGAGTTTTACATTGTAACATAAAGATTGTAAATTGAATGGATTTTGTGGTGCAAAGGATCTCTGGCTGTGGAATTCTGGGAGTTGAAGTCCACATGCCTTAAAATTGTCAAGGTTGAGAAACACTGATCCAAGGATTGGTTGAAGGAGAGAAATGGCGACCCCTTCTGGTAGACGAAGTTAACTCAAGTCAATTAGAAGAGACATTAGATCTGATCAGAGGGCTTCAAAGATCTTTTGGGGAAATTTCAACCTCCCCTTTGGCCCAAGGGATAGTTCTCAGAGGAACGAATAATCAAGAGAACTACAAGATTTTAGTGTTATAGCTAAAATGTTGGTACAATTAAGGAAATCTAGATTTAAATCCACTTTCAGGGTTGCATTGTAGAGAAAAATTAGCAGCCTCGTATACTGTCTGAGCTCCAGAGATTTAATGAAAATAAGAAAGAAAGAAAGAAAGAAAGAAAGAGGAGGGAGGGAGGGAAGAATGAAAGGAAAGAAAAAAAGAAAGAGGAGGGAAGAAAGAAAGAAAGAAAGAAAGAAAGAAAGAAAGAAAGAAAGAAAGAAAGAAAGAAAGAAAGAAAGAAAGAAAGAAAGAAAGAAAATGAATCTACTTATGCCAGGAGAGATTCATGCATAATTGGCATGTTGGCTCCAAGAGAAATCCTTCACGTTTAAAAGCAGTGTACCTCCAAATTATTTAAATTATTATCATCATTGCAACTTCCCCCCCCTCCTCCTCCTCTGAGCTGTGCTGAAAGTTCTTGGCAACCGACCTTGATGGTGACTATTTCTCTGTCCTTTCACTCCAAGGAGAATCGGCCCCCCAGACAAAATGGGTCCCCTCCCGACACCTTTGCGGATGCAGGTGAGCTGGCTGGCAGTGGCACCTACGTTCGGTTTGATGTCCCTCAACCTGAAATCAAAAGGAATTGGCCAAGCTTCAGAGGTAACTATATCAAAGCCTCAAGGGGGGGAAGGCCGAAGACTGGTGGTTCTTGAGAGCTTGTTTGTGTGCGTTTGGTTCTTTTCATACAATTGCCTTTTTAGAGAGAGGAAAGGAGGAAAAGAGGGGGGGAGAGGGAGGAAGGAAGGAAAGAAGGGAAAAGAGAAGAAAAAAGAAAAAGAAAGTGAGAAGGAAAAAGAAAGAAAGAAAGAAAGAAAGAGAGAGAGATAGAGAGAGAGAGAGAGAGAGAGAAAGAAAAAACTCTCAAACTTCCTCCTTCCGTTATATATTCAAGATGGACAGTATTTAATATTTATTTGCTACGTATATGTAGGGATGTGGGTCTGTACACATGTTCATAGTATGTTTAGGTGTGTGTCATGTATGGGTTTCACTTTGAGAGCGGGCAACTAAATTTCATTTTTGATGTGTGCCGTTGTGTCCACAGTAAAAAAAATGACAATAAAGGTTATCTTATCTTAAGAAAGAAAGAAAGAAAGAAAGAAAGAAAGAAAGAAAGAAAGAAAGAAAGAAAGAAAGAAAGAAAGAAAGAAAGAAAGAAAGAGGGAGGGAGGGAGGGGAAGGAAGAAAGGAAGGAAGGAAGGGAGACTTCCAGTCTTTCTTTTGGCAATTAGACACACCACCTGTCTCTCTTCTTTCCACCACCTATTCTAGGTCACCTGCCTGGTTTCAGATGAAGCCAACAAGCCAGCAGGAAAAGCATGTCTGGCTTAACTGCTTTATTTCTCTGGATTCCGACAGACATGATGTTCCACCGCTACATCGTCTCCCGCGTGATCTGGACCTACATGGCGTCCATCGCCGTGACTTACTTCATCACCCTGTGCCTCTTTCCTGGGCTGGAATCAGAGATCCGGAACTGCACGCTGGGCGAATGGCTCCCCATCCTCATCATGGCCGTCTTCAACCTGTCCGATTTCGTGGGCAAGGTAACCCTCTTGGCCGGGATCCTGCCCAACGGCCCGAGGACCGGGCATCTCTGTGCAGGAGGAGAACCCCCAAGTCTGCAGGGAATCACAGGGCGACAGGGGCCATCCATCGGCTGGCATTGGGGACAGACAAGGTCTGGGATAGGTACCCTTTGCCCTTGATTCTCTGATGGGGGCTGTAGGGTGAGCAAAGATGAAGCAAGCCAGCCGTGGGTCAGATCAAAGGGAGGGATGACAAGGATCTCTTTGATGTGACCCCCTCTCCCTTTTTGTCTCTGACCCCCCTTTCCTCCCCCCTCACCCCAGTTTCATCTTCCATTCCAAGCCGAAACCTGAGCTGTTCTGTTGGGGGAAAGACTTTGAAACCAGGACAAAGTTGCTTGAAAAATAGTTCGATAGCCCCGTTGGCCAGTTCAGGAGAAGTGCCCGCTAATAAATCCCAGATGAATTCTTACCTCTGCCCGTGTTTTAACAGGCACAGAATCCCAAGTCCTCTGGTTCAACAAGACTCCCCAGCCTGTGGCAGTCTATCTGGGAACCCGACCGTTGGCTTGGCCTCGTGTGGGAGACGGGCTCAGACAGAGATCCAGGAAATCTCTCTTAACTTTTCTTTCGTGGATTCCGCCGTTTCTTAAGCGTTCAATTCTCCCTCTGCATTTGCAGATTCTGGCTGCACTGCCTTACGACTGGAGAGGAGCCCACCTCCTCCTCTGCTCCTGCCTGCGAGTGGTCTTCATCCCTCTGTTTATCCTGTGCATCTACCCCAACGGGAGCCCCACATTTAGTCACCCGGCCTGGCCCTGCGTCTTCTCCCTCCTGATGGGCATCACCAACGGCTACTTCGGCAGCGTCCCCATGATCCTGGCAGCCGGCAAAGTGAACCCCGAGCAGCGGGAATTGGCAGGTTAGTGCAACAGTTGCACGCCTCTCCCCTCCAAAAAGAATTGTCAAAAAAAAAAAAAAAAGGCCAGGAAGAGTGTTGAGATCAGAGGGGACAATGTCGGCACCAGCTCCGCTTAATGGTTATTTCATTAGAGCAAGCACCTTGCAAAGCAGGAAGTCTCAACCCTGGCAATTTTAAGTTGTCTGGACCTCCCCAGCCAGCCTGGGGGAATTCTGGGCATTGAGGTCCACCCACCTTAAAGTGGCCAAACTTGAGAACTACTATTGTGGAGTCTCTATGTCTAGCTAGCTGTCATCTCTCTCTCCTTCTCTATATCTATTTATATCATCTTTCTCATTTTCTATATCTATCATCATACTCTGATTCTCTATTTTCTATTATCTTTCTCTCTCATTCTCTATAACTAACATGTATTATATCTATCTATCATCTATGATCTATCTATATCCATCTATCTATATCCATCTATTTCTATCTCTATCATCTGTCATCCATCTATCTGTCCATCCATTCATCCATCTTTATCTCTATCATCTATCTATCTCATTTATCATCTATCAATCTAGTTATCATCTCTATCTTCTGTATCTATATCTATCTATCTCATTTATCATCTATCAGTCTATCATCTGTCTATCTCATTTATCATCTATTAATTTATCATCTCTATCATCTGTCTGTCTCTGTCTATCTATCTATATCATTTATCATCTATCAATCTATTTATCATCTCTATCATCTCTTTCTCTAATCTATCTATCTACCTATCTCTCTCTCTTTCTCTCTCTCTCTCTAATCTATCCATCTATATATCCATCTACTATCTCTATCATCTATTATCCATTCATCTATAGCTATCCATATTTATCATGCCTGACTGCCTGCCTCCCTCCCTGCCTATCTATCTATCTATCTATCTATCTATCTATCTATCTATCTATCTATCTATCTTATCTATCTATCTATCTATCTACTCATTCTCTCTTATGTCTCCCTCATCTATCTATCATCCATCTATCATTTATCTATATCAATCCATCCATCCATCTTGAGGGAGAGTAATTATTAAAATAAATTATGCATGTGGTCCTCCCTCACACGAAGACCTGTGCATCAGAACATCATCCTGCAAAGTAGGTCCATTGTGTAACTTGCATACTTTGCAGGATGACGTCACGGCCCTTCCCCCTGGAACATCCCTTGCTCTCTCTGACAGGAGACTCAAGAGTTGTAACCATTTCTCCTCCATTTCTCCCTCCCAGGTAACACCATGACGGTGTCCTACATGACAGGGCTGACCCTGGGCTCTGTTGTCGCCTACTCTGCTTACAGCCTGACCAGCACTTCTCCAAGTTCTTGCCTCTACCCAGAGAACTACACTGCCTCCATCCTGGATGGCAACTGACCAGACCATCAACGGGGCACTGACTGACATCTAGGCATGCCAGCCAAGATGGTAGCGGGGAAAGAGAGCTTGTGAGCCCCCTGCAGGCACAGCCCTAGCTCCTTCAGGATCCGCATGGAAAAATCCAAGCCACATCCTTGCCCATGACCATGTGTGTGATATATCCTAACCCATACTCGCATGGGTACATGATGACCCATGTGGCTAGTTTTCTGTGCAGGTTGCGTTGCCCCTGTTCGTCCCAGCTACATCTGAGCAGGAAGTTTCTTTCTCCAATGGACTGTTTCGCCTCCTCTACTACAGCTCTCTCTAGTAGCACTTAAATCCATTGGTCAGAGTAGCACCTGGCCCATGTCATGACATAGGCAGCCTTTGCTGTCTCCTGCTTGGGTTTTTTTTTTTTAGGCAGCTGCTCAGTCAACAGCTGGAAGGCCCGGCCCGTCTCCTGCGAAGAGGCGATTCCCCACTTGGAGACAGTCTGGTGCAGAGGGGTTTTTTGCACGTGGCACTGTGGTTTTAGGGCGCAAAGGAGAATGGGGTGCAAAACAGAATGTCTGGGGGCCGCATCATGGCAACCGAACTTATTTTAGCGATATTTCGCTGCAGCTTTATCCGTCAGAGCAAGTTGCTGTAGTCCTTGACTTATGACCATTGAGCCCAAATGTTCTGTTGCTAGGCAAAACATTTGTTAAGTGAGTTTTGCCCCATTTTACGACCACGGTTGTTAAATGAATCACAGCAGTTGATAACTTAGTAACCCGGTTGATAAGTGTATCCAGCTTCCCCATTGACTTTGCTTGTCAGAAGATCACAAAAGGGGGAATTACACAACCCTCCAGGACACCGCAACCATCCTATAGCCGAGGGTCTGAATTTTGATCACATGACTGCAATGGTTGTAAGAGTAAAAAAAATGCTGATCAGTCACTTTTTTTCAACACCCTTGTAACTTTCAACTGTCACTAAACGAACTGTTGTAAGTCAAGGACAATCTGTAAAGTTTTTTTTTTCCCTGATGGAACTACACTCACACAACCTCTGTACCAAACGCCTTCAACCAGAGCTTATTAGATTAAAATTTAAATTGCAGATGAAAATTCTCATTTCCGCAGGGGAAGAACGCAAAACCCTAATCTCCCTTAGTTTGTCCGTGGGACATTCATGTGTGAAATTCTAGGTGTATCTCATAAAATAAGTTGGTTTTTTTTTTAAAGCAGCAGCGATGTTGTGCCAGCTGACTTAGAAGCTAAGAACCATGTTGTGCGAAACCAAACCGTGTTGAGGATGTTATCTATTGTGGTTTGTTTCCATTTCTGTGTGTTGTCCACATCACTGAATGAGTCTAATTCAACAGCAGACTTTTAAAAAAAGTCTGCTTACAATTATTATTATTTTATGTTGGGCTGTCACTACAGCCATCACCATGTCAACAAAATCAGCTTGATTTTGCTGCAAGCCAAGAAGCTCGAAAGATCTTTGATGGATCCTGTTGCTCTGTATCTTCCTGAACCATATATTTATAGAAGAGGATAGTTGCAGCTCAGGGTGGAAGTGTGTCTGTGTGTGTGGGGGGGGGGTCTTTGGGGCTCACAATTTAGCTAAGCCCCTCCCACTTCCCAACCACTTTTACACCCAGGCTGAAATGTTCTCAAATTCCTCCCCAAAGGACAGAAATGAAAGAGAGACTGGATACCCTTTGCGCAATTTTCTAGTTTGTGCAGCAACCAGCACACCCCCCTCGGGGGCGAACGTCACCATCGTCTCTCCACCAGGTTCGCTTTGGGGCAAGGGACCTCAGAAGCCAAGAAACCATGATTTGCCTGAGATCACAATTACCTAAAGATCTGCAGGTGTGGCGGGCGGCATTCTAAGGGGTAGAATCAAGAGTTTCGTAAAATAAGGATGTTCCAGCATTGCAAAGTTGCAGCAATTTGCTTTGTGTCTTTTTTTTTTTTAGGGGTGGGGGACACAAAGGATCTTCCCAGATCTGAACTGAGTTTATGTAGGTAGTGTTTAAAATTAGCACTTGGGGCCCCCAAAAGTCACAGGTTGCCCCTTTTCAATCAAGGACGTTCTTTTCAGGATCATCATCATAAAAATCCAATTTAAAAAACCTAATCTAATAATACCCTTTTGCTTCGGAGCTCATCTACCATCACAGTTTTTTTTTTAAAGTTTTTTTCCCATGCACACAGCCCTCTTTAAAACACAGGGATGGCCAAAGAGAAATTCCCTGACAGTGAGAACAATTAACCAGTGGAACTACCTACCTCCAGAAGTTGTGAATGCTCCAACACTGGGAGTTTTTAAGAAGAGATTGGACAATCATTTGTCTGAAATGGTCTAGGGTTTCCTGCCTGAGCAGGGGGTTGGACTAGAAGACCTCCAAGGTCCCTTCCGAGTCTGTCATTCTTTTATTAATTTCAAGCCATCTGAAACGAGGGCATGCTCCTGGAAAGGCTCCAGAGAGCATCATGGGGGGGGGGGCAGCCAAGAACTCAGCCCCCGTTAAGTCGAAGCCAAGAAAACAACAGAAGAATCCCGTAGCTGCTTCGTTTTTCAAGGTTTCTTTTTTTCTTTTTTTTTTATGAAAAAGAATCACACATCATACAGCAATGAACAGAATGCAAGAAAAAAAAAGGGGGAGGGAGGGAACGGGAAACAGATGAAAATGTTAAAAAAAACACACAAAACGACAGGGAAGGGGGGAGGACAAAAAAAAAAAAACAACCCCGTGGCTCCATTCCTCTCTCGATTGTCTGCAAAAAATCCTTGTGTCCCATAGAAGGCAGTAGGCAGTTAAGTGCTTTCTATTTTAACATTCGCGTCGCCTTGCTTTTTCTTCCAGAAGCTCATGTGAGTCGCTTCTACAATATACAGTCCACTGTTTTGTAAGCAATGCCTGGCTTTCCTATTCCCCTTGTGTGCGTTCATTCGTTCTTTCGCTCTTGTCTTTTTTTCTCTCTCTCTCTCTCTCTTTCTCTCTCTCTTTTTTTTTTACAGTCACAATTCCAACCGGAAATAAAAATAAAAGCGTCTCAATGTCAGACCGTGTTTTGCTTCTTTTTTTTTTTATACTTTCCCATAATTTTTTTCACAGTTTTTTTTCTTTAAAAAGTTTATATATTTATATATATTTATATATTTATACTTTATATTTATAATTAAAAAGGTAAATCCGTTTTTGCTTTTTTTTTTTGCTTTTTGTTCGTACTTTCTCTCTCTCTCTCGCTCACTCTTTCCTTTTTTTTCCCTTCCTCCATTTTTGTTTCGTTAAAGAGTTGTTTTTTGTTTTGTTGTGTGTTTTTTGTATGGTTTTTTTTTTTTTTTTAAACAATGCGTTGGAAAAGGGCTCCAGTGAACCTTTTGGGTGTAGTATGAAAACTGTACAAGCCCGGCGTTGCCCATCCAGAAAGATTGTCCACCTAAGGCTTGGCGGCTGGGATCTGGTGGACTGGAGGAGGCATCTGAAGCTGGGCAGCACCACTGTGTTTCTCCAAAGAGGTTGTGAAAGGATTCTGAGGGTAGCATTCCTTTTGTACCATAGCGGATAGCCAAAAATAAAAGAGAAATCTGCCCGTGTTAAGACAGGTAAAATCATCTCCCCATTGTAGTGCTTGAAATGGTACACCTGTCCCTATCTGAAACAATTGTGGTGTCTTCTCTTGTAGTGTGTGAGTTTGGTGAGTTTTCTTAAGTGCAAAAACACTGGCATTTTAATGGTCACGATATCCTCTCTGGCCTTGCAGCAGAGCCACACCCAAGAAGACGTTGTTCACCCCCCCCCAAGGGACTTTTCATTCATTTTGAATTAGGGCAGGTGGTAATGTTCAAGGTCTCACCACCCTTGGGGCAGAAGAATGCCGTTCAGTTTCTGGATGGTCAATAAATGAGATGAGGTCAAGCAGATGATCCTGCGACAAGACCCAAGTGGGTTTCCCAAAACTACCAGCCAACGGTTCTTCCGTGCGTCCTTCAAGTGCTGAGTTTGGGCGATGGTGAGAAGTGAGGACGCAAGCTTCAGCATTTTGCTCCAAGTGACCATCCAGTAGTCTTCAAGAGCAAGTTGAAGATGTACTTGAAATGTTCCTTGAGGTGGGCCTAGCGAGGAAGCTAACATGCCTACTTTCTCAAATATAGATCCCCCACAATATTTATGAACCTCTGATGAGGAGCCATTTTTCCAAGCGCGACTTGGAGTAAATACATTCACTTCACATGAGGGAGGAAGCATGTCCATTGAATAGCTCTTCTTTAGAGGAGAAAGAGGCTCCTTCATCATTCCAAGGGTTTGGAGAGAAAGGGTTGCAAAAGAGAATAAATGAGATTCGGTGGTGGATTTCTGAACCACCTGTTCTTAAGTCCTTGTAACTCAAAAGAAAAGTGGGACAACTGTTCTTCCAGTAACTATCTTATTGGCCAACGGAGCTTCTTCAATTGCTTCTTCATACCAGTTCTCTGATAGAACAGTTTTTGGAGATAGAGAAGTGGGTGGAAAACGGCCCAGCCCACCACTTGATTGGCATTTGCTCAAAGCTGTCCCTGAACCAACCACGTATTCTTCCATAAGTTGAGTTTTCAGTTGGTGAGGGCAGATAAAACCAGTACCCTGAAGATTAAAAAAAAGTGCCAATTTCCCCCCCAAAAATTGGCCTCTTGAAATAACCTATGAAGGTTCATACTCAAAGATTGATGATGGAGATGCCTGTAGTCCAATACTATATTGCAAAGGACCAGAAATAGGCCCACTGCCCAAGAATTAATTTTCTTAAAAATCCCAACGTTATATTCCTTTTTCAGGGGGCCACAGAATCCAATCCATCGCTCTTGAGTTCATGAAGTTGTTGAGCATGGGGAGAACCTTTTTCTAAAATTTTGGAAACATTGTGACCAAGCACTACACAATCATGCTGTCGTTTCAACAGGCACATAACTTTCATTCCGTGCTTCTTCCTCCGAGGGAGGCACAAGGTGCGAGGTGCCTCCCCCGTTTGTCTTTCTCAAAGCTGTCTAGCAAACGATGGGGACGCCATCAGTGTTGAAGATCATGCCCGTGGTGGGCTCGTAAGTCCCTGCTAGGTAGTATAAATCTTCACTGTCTTGATACTTCTTTGTCTTCAGCATCTGCTCATATTGTTCCAAATCAACTACCAGGCATTTGTGTGAGATTGTCTGAACGTCGTTTTCATCCACGTGAGAGGACTGGTACAAAGCCCTCTGGATTAGAAAGAAAAGAACAGAGATGTTAGAACATCTGCTGAAGGTTCCTTCAGGGCTTGAAGGCAAGGAAGAGCTTCTAAGGTCCCTGTGTCCTCAAAACATGTTGAGAGCCTCCCATTATTATCGTCTCTCTCATCTTTGTTTCTTCCTATTTATCTCTCCTAGCTTCTATACGTCATTCTCAGAAGTATGAGACCTAAATGTATTAAGCATGCTTAACAAAAGGTTATCAGTTTTTTCCAGTTACTCGGTTGCCACGCAACCAACAGCAGGTTATCTATGGACACTCTCCATCATCCAAGTCATAGTTTTCCCCAAAGTGTTTTTCCAAGGGGCAACTGGACTTACTTATTTTTCTTTGAAGACGTTTCGCTTCTTATCCAAGAAGCTTCTTCAGTTCTTTGAAGACATTTCCCTGAAGACAGTTCTGAAGAAGCTTCTTGGATGAGAAGTGAAACGTCTTCAAAGAAAAACAAAGAAAGCTCAGTGGCCTCTTGAAAAAGCACTCTAGGAACAACAGCAGAATATTTGTATCATCTTAAAGTCATCGTTGGCAACACAGTGACGGTGCCCCCAAAGAGCCCAGGTACCTATCACTCACAAAACATTGTCCACAAATCCTCCAAAACTGCATTTAAATAATTGGAGGATACGGATCACCTGATTGCAGTAACACCCAGATCTTGAAGAGGGAACCAACTTCTGATTCAACATCTAAAAGATGCATGATGACCTTAGTTACAGCCTGCTCCATTAAACCCATGGATTGTGAAGAAATGGGTCATTACCCACCAAAATATATACCATCAAAAATCTGGTTTTTTTTCCCTTAAGATGCTACAAGTCCATTGGTGCTGAATAATTTAAGGCCACCAATGGCAAAATCAGAAGGCATCAGCTTCTTTCCCAAAAGCTTTTCATAAAATGTGTGAGTCAGAAAAGGGGCTACGGGCTCCTTGTGATTGTGGATTTTTTTTTTTTTTACACACCTCCATGAAGTCCTTTCTCTGGCTGGAAGCTTGAAGAGCTGCTGATAAGGTCCGGACAGATTTTTGATCCCATCGCTGAAGTTCAAGTGTCGTGCAGAAGCAGCAGAGAGGGTCAAGGAGAAGGGGGAAAATATAGCCATCAAGGAGAAGGAAGATGATTAGAAGGCAAATCCAACCGTCACTTGACAGTAACATGAGCAGCATATAAATTAAATAGTAAAAATATCAATTTCCTTTTCATGGTTCTGTTCTCAGAATGCTCTCCTTTTTCTGGATGGATTAGGGGAAATTCAACAGAACATCCTACTTATGTTCAGAGGTATCACCCCATTGGACAAATTGCAATGTTTCACCGATACAGTCATTTGTTCATCAGCTCAATGGAGGAACATTTCCACTGAATAAGTTCCTTGATCCCCACCCTACCGCTAAAAGCCCATCCACCAGTAAGCAAAGTTTCCATAGAGAATTTTGACATCATTGAACATTGTTGGCCTTCAAGGGTTAGTAACCATGGTTTAGAGAACAGACTTCCTGACAGTTCGCTGGCAATGATGGCCATCTTCAGAGGCAAGGGGACCTGATAGACAGACCACCAGCAACTGAACATGGACTGTTGAGGTTCTTTTCTTTATAGCTGGGTCCCTGGCTTCTGATTGGTCTTCAGTCAAGATGGTGGTTCTGAGTTGGTGCAAAGACCTGCCCTCATTAACCAGAAACTAGCTCAGCCAATTAGAAGCCAGGACACCTGGTTATAAAGACAGGTACACCATCAGTCCCTGCTCAGTTGCCAGTGGTCTGCCTATCTGAAGATGACAGCCACAGCTATTGGTGAAACATCATCAAATCTCATTGTCTAGACCACGATCACTAAATCCTAGAAGATACTGGCCATGAAAGCCTACATCAGCAGAAGGTTTGGACACCCCTTGCTTGAAAGGATCCTTAAGGGATCTCCAAAACTGTTCCTCTCTGGTCTCCCTAACCCTGCCTTTTAATGTGGCATTCTGGCTAGTTTCAATATGGTTGGACTTGACCAACCTTTGACCAATCCTTGACTAACTTTGTCAACCTTTGACTTTAACTTTGTCAACCTTCAACTTTGACTAACTTGGTCAATCTCTTACTAACTTGGTCAACCTTTGATTTTGACTAACTTTAACCAACCTTTGACTGACCTTTGACCCACTTTTGACCAACCTTCACTAAGTTTGGCCAACCTTTGGCTAACTTGGACTAACATTTGACCAACCTTGACTAACGTGACTTGACTAACCTTGCCTTCATTGAGCTTCTTCCCAGGGTTGGTTTCCTCAGGATGATAGAACCATTTCACTCGGACCACCATGTTGTTTCCCCAGGATTCCCACATGCTCTGGATCCGGCCAATGTACGGGAGGTTGGGCCGCCCCGCTGACAGAAAGACAGCACAATCTCCGATGCGGATGATCTCCTTCCCGCGGACGATGGCCTTGTAGAAGAGCTTGCGGGCTTTCCCCTTCATCCCGCGTCTCTGTGGCGGGAAAAAGCAGGGAGTTAGGAAACCTCCATATTTTGACTTTTCACATTCAGCTAAGCTGTGGACTGACTGGCCTGTTGACTTAGCTCACTGGTTAAGTTAGCACAGGTAGTCCTCAGCTTACAGCCACAATTGAGCCCAAAATTTCTGTTGCTAAATGAGATGTTTGTTAAGTGAGTTTTGCCCCATTTTACAACTTTTCTTGCCATAGCTGTGAAGTGAATCCCTGCAGTTGTTAAATTAATAACCTGGTTGAAGCCCACCATAAAAGAGTCAAGGTTGCCTACCCCTGGCCTAGTGCCTTCCAGATATGGGTTGACAATTTCCAGACACCCAACCAGCGTGAATGTTATGTATTGAATATATATAAAGTTGTGTTAATCCCTGCTAAAGTGAAACTAACTTAACTCCAACTGCTTGTGAAGCGAAAATGAAACTAACCTTTAGATGACCCTGACTGTTAACTCCAACTGTTTTGGAGTTTTGAACATTGTATTTGGGCGGGCTTTTCAAGTATTGTGATTGGTTAAGGCCCTGTGGGCTCAGAGTACAAATTACAGGCAATTGCCTGCAGTTCTCCAGTTCTAGTTTGAGTCAGTAAATGATGTTGTAACTATGCTGGTCTGCTCCTTGCCTACTGAAACCCACTACACAATAATGAACGTTGGCTGAAAGAAGAGTCCACCTCAACCGAAGAGTTCATAGCGAAGGACAATCCAAGATGGCGCTCTTACCTGGGTAGGGTTCCCGAACCACTTCCAAAGTTGTCGCGCAGGCAGAAAGGCAGCAATTTTGGGCCGGTTCTCCACCGAGGGCAGCCTCTGGCGTTTGGCTAGCTCTTTCGTGGTGGGCAGGTGGATTCCTTCCCGTTTCTTGCACCGGTTCTTGTTCCCGCTTGGTTGCTGTTTCTGCACCACCTGCTGCTGAGGCTGTTTTGGATTCCGGGAATGTGAAGAGGACGGAGACTTCCCTGAGGCCTTGGTGGGCTTGGCTGGGCTGGTGGGCTGCGTGGAAGAGGCGCTGGGTTGGGTCTCTGCTGCCTCATCTTCGGAGCTGCAGGAGGAGTCTTCGTCGGTGGTGGAAGAAGAGGAGGAAGAGGAGGATGAGGAAGAAGAGCTGGAGCTGGAGGCGGAGGAAGAAGAGGAGGAGGAGGAGGAGGAGGAAGAGGAGGAGGACGAGCTGCTGCTGCTGGAGGAAGAAGAGGAGGAGGAGTTTGAGGAGGACATTGGGGTGGAGGCCCTTGAGCTGGCCGAGCTGCTATCTTGAGCACCACCTCCGTTCTTCTCCGTTTCTTCTTCGCCTTCAGAATCTGAGCTGCTACCACTACTTTCTGACTCATCCCTCGCCGGGGCCAGTTCACCACCATCTTCTTGAGCCTTAGAAGATGGAGGATCTGCAGAGTTCTCAAACGTGCTTCCAAAATTAGGAGGAGGCTCTCCCTCCATAACAGTCTTGCTTCGGGAAGATTTCTGCTTGGGGTTTGGGCAGCCCATGGCGCTGTACCCAAGTCCTAAGAGGTTCTTAGCGTCTCTCCTACTGGCCAAGTTTGACTCCCCCAGCATCCTCATGGCCTCTTTGGTCTTCTTGGTCTTGGGAGACATGACCCCCTCGTGGTCCAGCTTGATCAGGATCTCACTGTCTGGGATCTTCCTCTGGGCTTTGGGCGCAGACCCAAATTCTTGTCCCTCCTCGGTGGATTTTCCTTTCTTTGATTTGACTTTTCCCGAGGAGCTACTGGAAGGACCAAACGGTCCAGGGTAGGGCTCGTTCCCACGAACATTGCCAAACACCGGGGTCTGGAAGGTGGTGGGAACGGAGCCATGGAGCTTGGAAGAAATCTTCCCTTTGCCTGTTTTGCTGTGATGTTTGTCTTCTGCTGGAGCTGGAGGAGTCCTGGAAGGAACCGACTGGATCTTCTGAGAGCCTTTGGCAGCTGGTTTGCAAATTGGCAGTTCCGAGCCAATAGAAGAGTTGGCCAGTATCTCTCCCGTGATGGTCTGATCAGCCAGAACAGATTCTTCTAGAAAGCAAGAACAACAACAGTTGGGAACAATAAACAAAGACAGAGGTTTCCCCCAAAGGGACGCCCGCATTTGCAAGATGGCAGCCACAGCACCACAAGGGAAGGTCCATTCCCTTTGGACACAAACGTACAAAAGGGTTGGAGCATGGACTGCAAAGCCACACTGCCCATTGTGCTGATTTCTGACCCACACATTTTGTAGACACCACTGCCTAGGAGAGATTGTGTGCCCTGCGAGGACGCATCACTTCTAAAGTTGAGAGAAATCTATCGATCGATTTAAATCCAAAAGATTGACAAATACCAAGAGACAGAAACCAGAAGGACTGGCGAACAGGGTTAAAAAATACAAAATCTCCCATTTGCATATGCATGTATGCCTGTATTTAGTTAATTAGTCATTCAGTTAGTTTAGATAGATAGATAGATAGATAGATGGATGGATGGATGGATGGATGAAAGAAAGAAAGAAGGAAGGAAGGAAGGAAGGAAGGAAGGAAGGAAGGAAGGAAGGAAGGAAGGAAGGAAGGAAGGAAGAAAGGAAGGAAGGAAGGAAGGAAGGAAAGAAAGAAAATAAATTTATTTCCCATGCATCTTGTAACCAACATTTCTGGGTGGCTTACGACATAAAAAATGTCAAAAAACATTAAAATCATCCATCGTAAAAAAAAACCACATCATTTGCAATCTTGCATTTTTTCTAAAGACATAGGAAAAACTCCAAATCGCTTGGGGATAAGGCTGTTCCCCCCCCCACAGGGATGGGCGAGTCGCACCTGTTTTCTGCTTCTTGTTCGGCTTCCTCCCGCGCCCTTTGCCCTTGGCTCCGGCTTCTTCCGATTCCACCCCGTTTCCTTCGCCCAAGTCCTTGCTGGATTTGCGGCTGCGGCGTCTCATGCTGGGCACCAGAAGGGCAGGAGAGGGTTCGGCACCTGTGAGGGTCAGTGGCCAGTTTGAGTGGGCACCGGACACATCCCAGGGATCCCCAGAGGCTCAGAAGAATCTCTAGGGCATGTACTGCACAGGTGGTCCTCCAATTACGACCACCGCTGTGGCTGAGTGAGACACATGTTTGGCCCCATTTTACGACCTTTCGTGCCACAATTGTTAAATGAATCCCTGCATTTGGTAAGTTGGTAAGGAAAAGGAAGGAAGGAAGGAGACAGAAGGAGAGGGAGGAAGGAAGACAGAAGGAAGAAAGGATGGAAAGGAGAGAGAGAGGGAGAAGGGATGAAGAAAGGAAGGAAGGAAGGAAGGAAGGAAGGAAAACAGGGAGGGAGGAAGACGAGAGAGAGGGAGGGAAGGAGGGAGGGAGAGAGGAAGAGGAAAGAAGGGAAGGAAGGAAGGAAGGGAGGGAGGGAGGGAGGGGAAGGAAGAAAAAAGGAGAGAGAGGAAGGAAGGAAGGAAGGAAGGAAGGAAGGAAGGAAGGAAGGAAGGAAGGAAGGAAGGAAGGAAGTTGGAGCCCACCTCATCTTGAGATACATAAGGAGGCTATTTCTCCAGGGATGTCGCAAAAAAAACAACTCACATTGGATCTTGTAATCAGGGGGGAGAAGCCGGATGTGAGATAAAGGAATCCGCCCAGTGTCCCCATCATCAAATTCCACTGTGATCAAATCACCATCTTCCTCCTGATCATGGACCCCTGTAGACCGAAGAGGGAAGAGTTGCAACTGGAGGCAAAAAGAAGAGCAGTAGCCTTTCCTCCCCTCCTCTTGTTTTCCACAAAATTGACTAGAAGTCTGCAGAACCCTAACAGTGGAGAACCATCTTCACTTCTATTATTTTTTCAAAGCTCTTTAAGGCAATAAGTCGTCAGCACATCTGAGGGCAGCAAATTCCTTGAAGAGAACACCATCCTGAATATATGGCCTGCCCGTAAAAAGTGGTTTTACTCCTCCCAGGCTTGAGAATTACGGTGGAGAGCACAAGAACAAAACATATTTCAATCTAAATGTCTATGGAGATTCTCAATCATCCAGGTCAAGAAGCTTCTTGGATGAGAAGCGAAATGTCTTCAAGGGAAAACAAAGTCCGGTTCCCTTTCGAAAAAGCACGTTTGGGACCCAATGTTCCTTGCTTCCACCTTCACATTGTCCTAGAAGTGGATTGAGGCATTTGTAGACTTACCTCGGACAACCGTCCCCGGGTAGAGGCACCGGTACTGCTGACTCCAGTAGGCAGCTATTCGTGCTCCTTCTGGTAGGAACCGCACGGAAGGGGGTTTGACATCAATGATCTGAATAGGAAGGAAGATGCAAGAGCTGAAGAACGGAAGAAACGGGGACAATTTCCATGCCAGCGGTAAAACAGGCACCAGGAACTGCATCAGCCACTGTCTGCGTTAGAACAATCTCTAGGGAAGACAAGTTTGAGTTATATTCAATCAATCGGAATAGAGCTAGAAGGGACCTTGAAGGTCTTCTAGTCCAACCCTCTGCCATTTCAGATAGGTGGTTAGGTATATTTTTCTGCCTCATATTCCGGGACATTATGTTGGCCTCCCAATTAGACTGGACAGGAAGCACATCCAGATGAGTTCATTCTACTTTACTGTAAGGCTACATTAACAAAATCTTGAAAATACAAATTGCCCACTGTCTCTTTTTAGCAATAAGCAATAGCACTCTTATATATTGCTTCACAGTGCTTTACAGCCCTCTTGAAGCCCTCATTTTATCAACCTCGGAAGGATGGAAGGCCGAGTCAACCTTGAGTCGGTCAGGATCGAACTCCTGGCAATGAGCAGTCAGCCTGCAATACTGCATGCTAACCACGGTGCCACTACTGCAGCCTTTTAATCATCTGGTAAGTTAGGACAGTTCTAAGTTTCTAAGTTTCTTCCTCTGCCTGTGGACTCTCCCACCTTTTATCTACTTGTTCCCTAAGCAGCATCTCTTCCCCCATCTCCCAAGTTCATCGCCACATACTTTTAACCACAAAGATAACCAACTTACAGCTTCCTGCAGCAACTGTTCCAAGCAGTAAATATGAGGCCGATTTCCTCGCTCGCCTTCCACAACAACCCGGTATCTGAAATAAGTACAACAGCCTTTTTAAAGCCCACAAAACAAACAAACAAAAAACAATTGTTTCTAACAAGAAAAAAAATATCAAAGGTTCTTCTGTAGGCCCACTGGAACTAGGATGGAGAAATCTCTTTGCTCACATGTCAGGAGAATGAACGGTCTTGACATGCCCAGCGTAGAGTAACTTGTCATCCATGGGGATCAGGACCTTCAAGCCATCCTTCAGTTCGTCTTTGTCAATGATGCAAGAACGAGGAGCTGTAAGAGAACCAGAGCTAAGAGGTGGACTCCCGTCAGGCCATCTCTTATCCAACTGTTGCTAGGCAGAATGTCTTCCTCCCTTCCCTCTGCCAAGGTCTTTCTCACACACAATCTTATCTACCCACCTGGAGTCAAGGGCCTTTCCAGAAGGAGATTCAGGGGTATGTTCTCATCCTCCGAGAAGCTGCTGTCCTGGTTGGGCTCAAAGTCCTCCTCAGCGGCCATGCTTTCCATAAGTTTGCTCACGGCTCCTCCCTTCCCTCGGGTCTAGAGCGAAACCAGATGTCAAGGTTCCGACTGAGACCTTCCAATCTCTCATGCAAAACTTTATTGAGCGCACCATATCGGCACAGATGAGTAGAAAATCAGCTCTGCTTTAAACGGGCGCCAGAACAGTAAATTAAAAATATAGACACTCCCCTTCCCCTGACAGAGCAGGCCACATCCCCCAATTAAGCATCAGACCATTATTATGACAGAAACCCTCCCTCTTAGTAAACAACCTTGAATGGCTTTGATTCCCAGATTACACAGCTCACACCCTCCATGCATTCATCCCCATTCTGCCTAGCAAGGCTAGAGGGATCGTGTGGCCTAATGGTTCCATTCCATGTCTGCATGGAGTTCAGATCTAGCGTGAAGATCCTGCTTCATTAGGGACAAGATGTTGAGGGCAAAACTGGGGTGATGCCCCTTTTCTTCCTGGCTTTGATTCTCACCTCCTTCTTGGCCTCTTTTGTCTTAGCTTTGCCCTTGTTCTTCTTGCTGGAGGTCAAAGAGCTGGCCAAGCTGGCATGGAGGTCCGGCAGGGAGCTGGCGATGCCCAGAGGAGAAAGCAAAGAGGACGAGGAAGAAGAAGAGGACGAACCAGCGGAAGAGCAGACAGCCCCCTCCTTGTTTTTCTTCTTCTGCAAGACAAAAGGGAAAAGATACAGAGATGGTAACAGACTGTTGGCTTGTAGAGAGAGAGAAAAGAGAGGGAGAAAGAAGAAGGAAGGAAGGAAGGAAGGAAGGAAGGAAGGAAGGAAGGAAGGAAGGAAGGAAGGAAAAGAAAGGCAAAAAAGAAAAAGAAAAAAGGAAAGAAAGAAAGAAAAAGAAAGAAAGAAAGGAAGGAAGGAAGGAAGGAAGGAAGGAAGGAAGGAAGGAAGGAAGGAAGGAAGGAAGGATTTTTTCTCCATGACTATCTGTCTTTAACTTGTTTTTTCCTGGAAAAAATGTCCTTTTAATTTTTCCTGCATCATCATCATCATCATCATCATCATTATTATTATTATATGCTTTCCATTTGGCCCCCTCTTTTTTTCAAGGTAAAAGAACAGAAGTCCAAATGGCCAGAAATTCACTCCTCCCTCCAACCTTTCTCTCCCCCCTCTCAACGCTCCCCCCTCCCCCGGTTCCTACCTTGCTCAGCTCTTTCCTCTCCTTCCCCCTGTTCCCTTCCTTCTTGGGGCTCAACAGGGTCCCCTTCAGGCAGCGTCCACTTTTGGAAACCGGAATGGAGCTCGCCGGGGTGGAGGAGGCCAAGCCAGCTGAGGTGGTAGCGTCGTGAAGGAAGATCCTCTCGCTCCGTCGCCGATTCCAGGCATCGTCATCGTTGACCTCCAGCCCAAACTCAAAACTCAGCTCTTTGGGCGATCTGAATTTCTTCAGCTTCCGGCTCTTCTCAGTCACCATCTTGGTCTTGTCCAACGAGTTACCTGAGGAGGTCTCCATGGGGCCTGCAGTTGGGCCTTGCTCTAGGGACCCTTTCTTCCCATGGAGTAAACCCGCTGGAGATTTCTTCCGGATCTTCACATCGCTTTCAGAGTCCGTATATTCAAACTCGGTCCCTAAAGGTGGAACAAAAAGGATCTATCAGCCAGAAGAATCACTCCGTGATATGTTTTCCAGACTCAGCTACTGGCTTCCGTGCCTCAAAATCGCAAAAAGAAATGGATTTGGATTTAGGCTGGCGATGGCAATTTCAAAACGTTTTAGAATTCGCTATGAAGAACCAGATACGAGAGCTGAACTTTTTCCCCACCTCTTTTTTCAGAAGGCTTGGCTGTGCCTCAGTTTCCCCAACCACCAGGCAGGCACAACCTCACGGAAATCCCCTTCTGTTCCGTGACATTCTCTCCACCCACAGTTGCACCTCTTGGAAACCCCCCCTGCTTATCTCCCCGGCTTTTTCCTTCTCTTCCAAAGCGCACATTTTATTTCCTTTCCAAAGGTGTCCGGACTACAACTTCCATGAGGCTTTTGGGAATTCTGGGAGGGAGCCAGGAGAGGGAAGGATGAGAGAGAGATTGCTCTCTTTTCAAAGGACTGATCTGGGGAAAGGGCTGTTGCCATCAAGTCATCCCGTGGAAAATAGCCCCTTCCTTTCCAAAACCAACTAGAAATTCCAGGATCATTAGTCTATATGAATAAAGGGGTTTCTAAATACAATCTTTAGACAGAATGGGACAACTCATTATAGAAATAGAAAAAGAGAGAGGGGGAGGGAGGGAGGGAGGGAGGGAGGGAGGAAAGAAGGAAGGAAGGAGGGAGGAAAGAAGGAAGAAAGGAACCAAGGAAGGGAGGGAGGAAGGAGGGAAGAAAGGAAGGAAAGAAGGAAAGAAAGGAAAAATTAGGAGGGAGGGGGAAGGAAGGAAGGAAAGAAAGAAAGAAAAATTAGAAGAGAGGGAGGGAGGGAGGGAGGGAGGGAGGGAGGGAGGGAGGGAGGGAGGGAGGAAGGAAGGAAGGAAGGAAGGAAGGGGCCTAGGATACAGTTATCTTGCATTAAGTAGTTCTGTGGTGATTTAGAACAAATTTAACTTGAAAGGATGCTGCCTTTGAGGCAGTTTTGCTATTGGAGAAGCACAAAGGGACTAAAAAGTGACATTTTAATCATTCACATCAGCAAGACCCCGGGAGGGGAGGGATAAAGTGGGTAAGGGGGGGGCAAACCCAAAAGAGATTTCTGCAGATATTCTCAGGAGTGAGTTGCTTGGGTCTCTCCCTTGTTGAAATATGCAATCTACATTAATTAATGGAGTTGATTGAAACTCTGCTGATTTAATTTGAGGCAATGAAGGTGTTTCAGCCATAGTTAGAATTTTTTTTTCATCCCAATTAACAGAGGAAATAACAACCTTCCTGTAATTCTCTCCAGAAAGCCCCATTCTGAAGACTCCTTACTTAGACTGATCTCAGATGCTAAACAGGTTTAGTCTGGCTGAGTGTTTGGATGGGAGATGAACTCAAAAGATGGGTACTGAAGGGATTAGGATGCTAGTGGTTTAAGGAAAGGCTACCAAGAGATATGAAAGCTGGGGTTGACATCACTGGGTGGAAAAACCTATGGTCCTCTGAATATCAATGCATGGAGGTGGACATCCATCTTTTGATCTTGGTAAGGGCTTGATTAGTCTTGCCCCAAAGTTGGGCACCCCATTTGAATGGTGTCCCATTTGCTCCAACTCCATTTCTTCAACCTTTTGATTACTGAAAATCTAATCGAGGCATGGAGGCCACCAGCATTTTCATCCCCAACTAACCCGAGGCCAATCTAGTCACACACCCCCCATGGCACTGTGGCCAACATACCCATCAGGCTTTGTCTCTCTTCCTTCTTCTTTGCTTTCTGTTTGGCTTCCAGTTGGACGATGGACACGGAAGGCACAATGATGGGGCTTGGGATGGCGCTAGCTGCAAACCTGGCCAGGAGCCCCAAGCCACTTTCATCCAAAGCAGATGGTGAAAGCCTCTCGTTGACCGCTGCCCCATAGCCTTCCATTTCTTCTTCTTCATCATTATTGTCATCATCGTCTTCTTCCTCCTCCTCGTCCTCTTCTTCTGAGCTAGAATCTGAAGGTGACAAGATGAAAACCTCTCATAAACCTGCAACCGGATTTCAAATCCACCGTTCATCCTGATGGATCTCAAGACCATTTCCGTACACCCCTTTCTGGCTAGAAAAGGCCTAGGCATTTTTGTACTCCACACTCCAAGTCTCGCCAGGAGAAGATTCCCAGAAAAAGGAGAGGTCTTCAATCCCACGATCGGAATGAAGAAGACCCCTCCCCTCCAGTTTTCCTTCCCAGAGAGCCATTGCAAAAAAAAAAAAAAAAGCTTGTTTATCTATCAGGAGCTCAAAACTCATGGATGATAGAAAGGTAACGCCTTTCCATCTTGCTAAGCTAAGGCTATCTCGAGTGCTCAAGAACACAATTCTACAAAAGCATGTGCAGAACAGCAATTACATTGAGATGTCCTTCTTTTGAGGGAACCTCTGCTTTGTTATTAGAAGAACATAACATCAGGGCTATTTCTTAACCGTTGCAAAGAGACCTGAAATTCTTTGGACCTAAGGAAAGTCTCAAAGAAGTCCCTAGAAAGCATCCATTAAATAGAACGTTGTGCCTGTCCACCAAATTGCTGCTACAAGGAGCAGGGAGGGGGGAAAAATTGGGGGGGGGAAATGCCAAAATGTTACAATTGATACAAAACTCAGCTTTTAAAATGTAGATAAGAATTTTGTCTCCCAACGGAGAAGAATGGCTTTCCATGAATAGCACAGAATATTCCCTTTTTAAAGCCAGAGATCATCTAGAATCATGTTCTCCAAACTGGGACCTCTTTGAGGTTCTGGATTTCAAGTCCCATAATCTCCAAGTCAGTAGCCAACATGAACTCTTGGGAACTTTGTCCTCCTCTTTGGACAGGCCAACAACAACCACACACACACACCTACACAAAAGACTCAGGCAATCTTTCATTTCAGTAATAACACTTCCTCTTTTAACTTTGGAGCAACGATGCGGACCAGCCTCAGAACAAACAAAATATGGCTGGTTCTGAACCAAACTAATCAAGGAAGGATGGACATTTATGAATAACGGCTTAAACATTGGCCAGAAACTAACAGGAAAGTGAAATTACATAGCATCGTGATTGAAATAAACTCAAGACCTAACTGGGACTGTGGAAAACATTGTCCATTAAAGGACATGGTTTCGAAAAAGGTAGCAAAAAATAAATAAATAAATTAGACCATATAAAACAGCTTTCCACCAGTTGGGTGATGAAGAAGGGAAATTATCTCTAGTATTAGCAGAGACTGTTAGTTATTGTTATCCTAACCAAGAGCAGAAATGAGGAGTCCTTGGTGCTCTCTGAGTTTAGTATTTTTCTTGCAGACGTTTCATTACCCAACTAGGTAATGTCATCTGTGCTAGAAGGGAATGGGGTTTGCGGAGAAGAGGAGAAGAAAAAACGATGGGGTCCTTGGTGCTCCGTGAGCTTGGCCATTTTCTTGCAGACATTTTATGACCCAACGAGGTAACATCATCAGCGCTAGAAGGAAAGGGAGGTTGCTCATCCTAGCAAGGGAGTCCTGGATGGTTACTTGATTAGACTGTAGTTTACTGTACTGGTACTCAGTTGAGTAATGAAATGTCTGCAAGAAAACCACCAAGCTCAAAGAGCATTAAGGACCTGAGCTACAAATACGTTCTTCTCTTAGTAACAGAAATTAGCTATTCTGAGCTAAGAGAATTTTTACTACTACTAGCAGAATATACCTCAGTACATCAGCTTTAGGCAACCCAATGAAATGGATCTGCTAGCTCTCTTCTGGGCTTCCCCACCCCTTTGCATCTGCAGCGTGACATTTATTACATTTTTTTTTCAAAAAAAAATATGCAACTAACATTTCCACAAATGCATTTGAGTCCGTTTCATCTTCCTTCTCTCTGTCTCTCTAGGACACCTTTTGCTAAGCTACACAATTGCAAATGCGTTTTGAGATTAAAGAAGGGGCATTAAAACAAAACCAGACATTCATAAGTCACATGCAACAATTGGCCGTTAAGATTTGTGCAACAATCGTTTTGTGTTTTTGTTTTTGTTTTTTAAATCCTCTTTTCCTGTTGGAGGGGAACATATCCAGAAAAAAAAAATAGCGATGCCCTTTTTCTGATTTGAGTTGCATCGTTTGCACAAGCCATTTTTGGGTTTCATCGGAAAAGAGATTGACTGCCAAAATTTCCCTCTGATTTTTCGCCCTTGAACCATTGAGGACTAGTAACCTATTGATTTAAAGGACTGAAAACGTGGACATGGATCAAGATTCCAGCAAGGCAGTTTGGCATGCAATCTGTTACAGCCGTGGGTGGAATAAATTGCCGCAGTTTGGTACAGATTTTCTTGCGTTACTTTCAGTTCAGGCCTCAAAACTCAACAATTTAAAAAAAACGAGTTAAACAGCAGACAGACATTGGTTAAATTACTACAAAAGGCAACAAGATGATTGGGAATGGCTCAGGAATGAGAGGAGAAATAGCAGGTAGCAAAAAAAGCACACTGAAGATTAATTCGGCATCGTTAAATATATACGCGTATATATATATATTTAACACTGATATATACATTAGACCAAACAGCCACAAAGTTATCATGTTGCAAACAAACCTAGAAAGCTTAAAGGCAGGCAGATTTGAGACAGCTGTTGACCCTCCACATCTGGTTCACCTTGGCCTGTCCAAATTCCCACTTTCAACTTTATTGCAGATTTGGACAGACCTTTGCAAAAAAACAAAACAAAACAAAAAAACACAAAGACATTTTCATAGCTTTTTCTCAAGTGCATTTTCACACTGCTGACTCCAGAAGAGGGTTTAATTGATTTCTGCTGCTTAGCCTGATGGTTACACCTTTGTAATGATCGTCAAATATTCTGGAGGATGCGTCTCTTCTCGAATCAGCTCTAGAGAACTTTGCGAGTGGGGACAAGTTTGCAAATGGCCTTCTCCAGAAAAAAAAAAAAGAATCGCAAAGGGGGAAAAAAATAGGGAGTGCATGTTTTGTCAGAAAATAATGTGATCCATAAAAAAAAGTGTAGATCTGAATTTGATTATTGCCCAAATTTATTTCCATCTTTATTTGGTGATGCTTTTGAAAGAAAAACTTTTGAAAAAATGCAATTAACTTAAAAATACAGTTTGTTTTTGCAGGAGAAATGTGAGCTGTCAGAGTGGGCAGCCATAATAATTTTAATAAATTTAAATTTTAAATATATAAAAAAATGGAATATTTCTGCCACTAGAAAGCTTCCTACATCATCAGCACCAATCCATCACAAAACAAAAAGGGGCAAAAAAAAATCACAAAAAATTAAAAACCAAGAGATTGATCCAATAAGGTGTGTAGTATTAGGAAACACATTTTGCAAAAATATTACATATTCTTCCCATCTCAATTACATATTTGACAAGAGAGGCCAGGAAGTCAGCTTCAATTTCAAAACAGGTGCTACATAAAATCTCTTGGGGTCCTAGCGAAGTTATTTGACCCCAGCATGATCAATGTACTTATCAAGCTAGTTGCATGGAAAAAAACCTCTTTTTCTGGAATATTATTCTACTTAAATTTCAAGGGTGAAATGACACATGGGCTGCATTTACACAATCATAGAATCATATAATCCAAGGGCTGAAAGGGACCTTCCAGGCAGACCCAGTTGAGATCTAGCATTGCTAAATTGGCTTACTACTAATTCTGGTTCACGGATGTTGGATTGTTCTCAGTGGCAAAGCCTGCTGTCCAAATCCAAATCTTACATTCCTGGCCTGGTTCCCTCTCTTGTGCAATCCCAGAAAAGGAGGTTTTCTTCTCTAAGCAGGTTAACCAAGCTCAGTCTGGCTGGAGAAAGACTTATAAAATGCTACCTCTCTCAAGAACAGGAACACGGAAATTTTAGCTTGAGATGTAAACATCTGCCATGCAGGTAGCAGGAACAGCAAACACCCTTCTGGAGTCAGGAGCCAAAGGCCTTTCCTGTTCAGGAGTTCCAAAATTAGAATGGGAGGAACAAGGGGTCTACACAACCCAAACTTCTCCCCTCTCAGAATTCCCCCAATTTAAATTGCAAAGATGACGATGAAGAAGGGACCATGAATGGACCACTCTTTATCCAGTCTACTGATGATGTGCCTGGCCATCCTTGGTCCCCACTACCATTTTGAAACTCCTCGAAATGTCTTCTCCAAAGACACCCCACCCCTCATGTCTGTCCTTCAATTCTTCAAACCCAGATCAACCTCCAGTGTTTGCAAGGAGGAGAATCAGGCAACCCAGTTCCATCCTTGTCCTGAACCATTTTTACGAGTGCAAAATTGCCAAGCTTTTTTTACAGAGGAGAGAAAGAGAAAGCTAATTTTGCCTACCTACATGATAAGGCTCAGAGATTTTTCGCTGAGCCGTGGAGGCGGGAGAGCAAATGTAAGAGAGCGACAGAGACACTCAAAGCATCATGAGAAGGGACCAGGGTGAAGGGTTGGGTCAAGCAGCTGCAAGGAGAGCGAAAGCAAGCTTGAAAAGCTGAGGTTATTAATGGTTTTAGTAAAATCAGGGAAAGGCATTAGCAAAGCTATTACACAAATATCCCTTAAAACAAATGTCCAAAGAAAACATGTATATATATATACATATATATTTCTGCATAGACTTTTTTTTTTGACAAAAAGATTCAATTTCTCCCACCCTCCCTCCCTCCTATTCCACCCCCGCCCACAGACCAGACACCTTTTGCACATTGGATTGGGAAATTTATCCATTGGCTCCCACAATTGTAAGGTGGAATGGGGTGATGCTCAAAGGAAACAAAATTTGAAGATGTCCAAAAAAGGGATGTGCTATCCAAATGGGGTGAAAAAAAGGCAAAAATAGCATTCTAGCTGTGTGTGTTTGTGTGTGTCTATACACACACATCCACATACACCCAATCTTTGGAATTCAAGAGTCAAAATAACAGCACCCTAGAGTGCAGATGTCCCATTTACTTAGAAACCAATCCCATAGAATTCAATGGGACTCATATGCAGCTAAGCCTACATTGTATCCCAGCTTTTAAGGGGAGTTAATGAGGAGTTGAGTGGCCAATAAATTCAAATCAATCAATCAATAAGCTAAGAAGGCTTTCATTCAGGTCTACCTTTTCTCTCCCTCCACCCCTCTCTTTAAGAAAATGCTTCTCGAGTTTATTTAGTTTTATTTATTTGTTTCTTCCATTTGAGAAGTTCTCCAGGGCTACTTATCTACTTGGACAAAGAGTAACTGATTGGAAGGGTTAACAAAAGTTCAATATGAGCCGAGGTGGCGCAGCAGTTAGAGTGCAGTACTGCAGGCCACTTTAGCTGACTGTGTTCAGCAGGTCAGTGGTTCAAATCTCACCGGCTCAAGGTTGACTCAGCCTTCCATCCTTCCGGGGTAGGTAAAATGAGGACCCAGATTGTTGGGGGCAATGTAAATATATATATACATTGCTTACTGGTGTACACCGCTTAGAGAGTGCTTGCACTTAAAGCGGTATATAAGTCTCATAAATAAATAAATAAATAAATAAGAGATCCTATAATTGTTGGTCTCCTCAAAGTGAAAAGACCTTTGGCTTCCAAACCCCCCACCCCTCAAGAAGGATCTCTTCCAAGTTTTTAAAATGGCAAAATTAGTAGTAATAGTAAGGATAATGTCAAAAAAACCCATTCTTGAAGAATGCAATGGCAAAACAGTAAACACACAGCAGCCAAGAAAATGGCAGGCTAGGTCTATCAAGGCGTTGTTGAGGGTGGAGATCATTCAATTTTAGGGGAAAATATTAATTGCTACTACTACATACTTCCATCTACCGTAACCAACCGAAGTATACACCTTTAGGAAAAGAGAAGGGAGCTATAAAAGAGGCTATAAGGCAAGGCCACAACGAGGATAGGCTACTTAGCTGATGGGAACCCATCTCTTCGTTAACCTACAGATAGAAAACCACAATCTCAGCCTGTCTTAACCCTAAGGGGCTCCTTATTTAATCTTTTCTATTACGACCAAAGTGGTTAAAAAGAGGTTGGGTAGGTGGATGGAGAGATGTGGTCCATTGGGACCATTCTTGGGATTTGGCCTTCTTTCTTGACTTTCCCAAATCTGAAGAGCAGATCTAGCAAAAAGAAGAAGGGACCAAAAAAAGAAAACAATTGCATCTTCCTCTCTGTATATTAGATCCTGTTTAATCATTGCTTTTTGCTCTTCGTAAGCAGGCTGTTGAAAATTGTCATCAATTTCTTTTCAAGTTGAATTAATTTGAGAGGAGATGACCCTCATTTGGAAGTGGCCGGGACACGGGCGTTTCACTGACGAAACTAAAGCCATTAAGGCAGGGGCCTTCAAACCTGGCCTCTTTAAGACTGGTGGACTTCAACTCCCAGAATTCCTCAGCCAATGAGGAATTCTGGGAGTTGAAGTCCACCAGTCTTAAAGTGGCCAAGTTTGAAGACCCCTGTCTTAAGGTTTCGAAACGTAATGAGGTTTTTGTGTGTGCGTGTGCCTTTGGCAACATAAAAAGCCCTTTGTTAAAAAATAAAAAAGTAATGAAAAATGAAAATGCAACAGTATGTACACAAGAGGACAAAACAGTCCAGCCCATTCTAGAATAATTTACACACAACGTAAGAAGCTGCACTCGGTTTAAAGGAAAGATGAGATCAGCTGACAGCTTTGTCTGTTTCCTCCTGCAAAGTAGAGAATTGAAGCCAGGGATATTTGAATAATAGGAAACACATCTCAATTTTGTTAATTCCTTTTTTGTTTGTTTGTTTGTTTGGTTTGGTTTGGTTTTCCCTTAAATCTTTGGGAATGAGGTGAGACAGCAAGATGAAGTGAAGCATCAAGCTACCTAAAGAGACACAGCAAGAGAGAGACAAGGCAGACGGTTTTAGTTAAAAACAAACTGGATAATTTTAATAAAAAGCTTGGTACCAAATTGTAGTACAAACATCTCAGGGTTTGGGGGAAGGGAGGGGGGGCGCACCCACACAACAGATATTCTAATTTACACAGTTCCTCTCCCGTGCCCTCTAACACATGCCAAAAGTAAATTTGGAAAGGAAAAAAAAATAAGCCACATATAACAACAGCGATGGTAACAAGAAATGATGTATATTCTCCTTTTAAAAAAAAAAATAGAGAGAGAGAAAAAGTATACGTGTGTGTGGAAAAGAGACTTAGGATGCTCTTGAAAGAGCTGATCAGGAACAAAACAATTGTGAACAAGCAGATTTGTTGGCGTAGGTAAGACTAGTGATCAACCATAAACTACCCCCAAAAAATCTTCTATGGTATCAACAAGTTGGCCATCCACAGAGCCATTTCAAATGATCACCCACCCTTTCCTCCTTCTCCTTCCCATTCACTCAAACCTAGACATTTGGGGTTGGGTTATAAGCTAGTAACCTTGATCGAACGAGTCCTCCGAAGAGTCACTGTATGACGATCCAGCTTTGGCCTCCCTGGACAGTAAACAAAATTCCCGCTTTCTATTGGCAGCCATTTTAGATTTGAGAGTCCTTGTTGAGGTGATGCTCTTCTTGCCGGCTTTGAAGATGTCAGAGATCCTGCTGCATTTGGGGGCCATGACACTATAGAGGCTGGAGGGTCTCATCCTGGCACTGGTTGGGGAATGAGAAGACCACTCATCCTTCAAGGATTCCTCCTCTTCCTCAGAATCTGTATCTGGGGTCAAGGTAGTTATTTTTTTTTTTTAAAAAAAAAAAAAGAAACGCCAGACATGACTGCCAACTTTAAGCACTGTCTATGGAGATTCCGGGTCAGGGTTGTCCCAAAAATGGCAATTGGGCTTTGTTTTTCCTTGAAGATGTTTCACTTCTCAGCCAAGAGCGGTGGAGGATGGAGGTGAATGGTGGCTGAACGACCAGATGACTGCAAGGAATATAAATCCTTCCATCCTCCACTATTCCATCAGAACTGAAGAAGCTTCTTAGATGAGAAATGTCTTCAAGGAAAAACAAATTCCAGTTGTCTTTGGGACAATTTTAAGCACTGTACTTTTAGGTCTATAGACCACAGACTTAAGAATATGGAAGAGGGTTAGAATATGCTGGCTTGGCACAATGCAATCCTATGTTCAACACCCAAACCCCTGCAGTTCAAACCTAGTTGTCTATTATTCACATCCAATTCAAGCGTGGCTGTCCGTTATTCAAAGTTTTAGGGTCAAGGGCCACCCGTAAATCTTTTGAGGGACCTGTCAATCCTGCTCTAAAAGACAGACCAGACCAAGAATTAAACTGACTCCATTACAATTACATCCATGTTCAATGCAGTCAATGCAATGATGATGATTATTTCCCATGTGTTTTAATTATTTTTCCATTCTGTCACATTAAAAGTAACCATTCAGGAGGGTCCAAGAAAAGGACCCTAGAAGAGGCATCTCTGAATTTGAAAGATCAGAATGCAAATTAAGGGAAAGGCCTGGAAATCCTGTAACCAGGATCTTTATTAGTAAAATATTAAACTAATAATAATCTAAATCAGTCTTCGGTATATCCAAAAAAAATAATAGGAAAGTGCTTCCAAGGTTCCTTCCAACTTTGCTATTCTGTTAAATACAACCCACTAAAAACAGTGAGGAGGAGAAGACACTAGGAAAAGAGAAGTTACTTACTGTAGGAGTAACTGCTCACTTCAGATATCGCTGGTGAGTTGGAAACCTTCAGATGGTGGCCTTTCATTTTGAGCCCCACCTCCAACTTCTTCATTTTGACCGCCATTTTGTTTTTACCTTCTTTAGAGGCTTTCAAGGAGAAGCTGAGGCTTTTGGCCAAGTTGTTTTTGGCATCCTTGCCAAACAAGGCACCGTGGGGGGACAAGTATCGGTTGTTGTAATAGCCGCCATTTTTCTGCCTCCCTCTGGACCTATCCACGAACTTGAACGGAGACTTCAGCTTGCTGCGCCTGGTGAGTGACAGGGCTTTGTCGAGCTTGCTCACCAGTTGTTCCTGATCAGAGGCCACCTTCTTCTTCTTAATCTTGAGCTGCAGAAAGAAAAGAGAGAGGGAGAATGAGCGGAAATCGAGGAAAGCAAGGGATCCAGAAAAAGTCACACAAGGAATGACTTCTTCATCCAGAAATCTCTGTGCATTTTGAGGTGGAATCCACTAGATGTTTTCAAAAACTCTGAGCTAGGTTCTGACACCTTCTCCAATGGCTTCATCTCCAGGACTGGAATTTGGGGATTGCAACCCATCCAGAAGTCCTCAAATTGAGGAAGGGGAATGTTCTATGATAGCTCTGATGGATTTACATCCAATTTATTTCAATACATAAAACCAGAAACATCGGCAGAAGCCAAAACCACAAGCTTCTACATTTGATTTACTTTGGTCATGTCATACATGCAAGTTCTTTGGAGGAGTCAATGAGGCTAGGAGTAGTTAGTGGAACAAGAAGAAGGGGCAAGCAACATGTTGGCTTGATACCCTCAAAACTGATACAAAGCTGAATATTCAACAACTGAAGGAAGCCAGGTAGCATGGAGAGCACTTGCTTATATAAGTCGCCAAGAGTTGGACATGATTGAATGGTTAAATAATTGAATGGTTTCAACAATTTAATCTGCCCAGCTGATTTAAGATTGCTCAAGTGAAGATGAGAGCCATGGCAATTGTATCTATTCAGCCTAAATCTGGAATGGAAAAGTTAAACCTTGCTTACCACCCCCCCTCCTCATTGGAGAAGACCCTGATGTTGGGAAAGATGGAAGACCAACAAAGAAGGGGACGGCAGAGGATGTAATGGTTAGATAAGTGTCATTGGGCAAACTCCAGGAGACAGTGGAGGACAGGGCTCTTAGCCTGCTATGGGCCATGGGGTCACAAAGAGTCTGACACGACTTAGTGACTGAATAAACAACAACAGCTCCCTCTTCCATTTTGTGCTTAACTATTTGTTCTGGTTCGACCATATTGTCTCCAATATGGTAGAAGACTCACCTCGCTGGAGAAGTTCATCAAGAGATCTTGCTCATCCCAACTGCGATGCCTGGTCTTTGTCTTCCCACTCCTGGTCTCTCCCTCCTCTTCCTCATCCAGGAGAAGCCCTCGGTGCTTCTCCTCCCTCCCATCACCCATTTCTGAGTCTTCGGAAAGCGACAGGGATTTGCTCAGCCTGAAAACATCAGGAAAAAAGAAAAAGAAAGAGGATGACCAAGGGAGAACCTTAGTAGCATCACCAGCAGGATAGAAGCCCAAGAAATGAAGGAGAGATGTTTGTTATTGGTTGTTTTCCGTTTTTGATTTTTGTCTTAGCTGCTCGGAGTCATCATGATGCGATGAGCAGCTAGGAAATCTGATGGTGTTAAACAAATAAATGCAGGCAGTCCTCGACTTTCAATCATTTGTTTAGTGACCATTCGGAATTTCTACAACCGGTCCATCAAGAGTGAAAATGTGGCAGCTACGTACCTCTCTGTTTTCATCCTGCCATTAGAATGGGGGTGGGAGGGAGGTGTTGTTTTCAAATGGGTTATTTAGAGAAATGAAACCTTTCCAGTGCTATGGAGGTGAAAGTCAGCAGGATGGAAACCTTTCAAGGACATTCTAGCAAGTGTGAAGGAGATAGCAGAGGGGTCTCATAACAAAGAGAACATATTTACATGAACTGTGTGGACATGGGGGGTGGGGACAGTTGTCTGGGAAAATTGTTGTTACATGCTATGGTCAGATGCCTTGGGATTTTAGAGTCAGTTTTACCTCGCCTTTACCAAGCTGTGTATTCAATAAATAGTAAGCTTTTCAGAAATGAAAATAATCCTGGACTTTTATTTGGATACTTGAGCTGGGAGGGGAAAGGAGGGAAGAGAAGGGAAAGGGGGAGAGGGAGAGGAGAGAAACAAGGAGGAGAGAGGAGAACCTTCACACCATGATTTTGCAAAAGCTCCAGGGGGATTTTAAAAAAGGTAAGAAGAACGACCAGGTTACAATCTCCAGATCAAGCAGGATTCCTTAATTTCCCTCATTTGAAAAATCTGAAACATCAGGCCAAAGAGGTTGACAATGCAGGAGGCCCTTAAACAAAGGCGAAGCCGAGTTCTCAATGTATCAGCAAGAAAGCAAAGACAGAACAAAAGGGAAACAGAGGCTGCACCACAGACAAGCAAAGCAGGACCAAAACGTATCCTAACACAGGTAGGTTTCTCTTCCACTCGTGCCGAAGAAAACAAGTTCAAAATCCAACATCCACAGCGTTCCCACTGGAAGTCCACCCTTCACCCATACGCAGCCCTAAAGACAGAGAACCTGCTCTACTTCACTCTCCTCTTTCCTCAATAATCAACACGTCCTCTAGATCGCAACAGTTTACCCCACGATGGCCCTACCTGTTGCTTAACCAACATCTATCCCATAATACTCCACACAAGTCTTATTCATCCTGGTGGCACCCCCAACGGCCAAGACACTATGTACCAACATCCGTGTTTGGGGCAGAGAGAAGGCAACCCAACCAGGGTGGGACCCTGCTACAGTCCCTTTCCCACCCCACAGCCCAACCTTACTTTCCACTCCTTCCGTCACTCTTCCCTCGCTCCTTAGGGGGCAACAGAGCGCTTGATCCATGGTTCCGTTTTCTGGGCCTTCCTGGACCTCGTTTTGCCAAGCTTCTATTTTTCTCGTCATGCTTTTCCCTTAAAAAAAACCACACACTTGACCGTTAACCAAGAGCAATGAGGAAAGAAGGAAAGAAGGAAAGAAGGAAAGAAAGAAAGAAAGAAAGAAAGAAAGAAAGAAAGAAAGAGGTGGAGGGGTGGAAGAAGAAGAAGAAGAAGAAGAAGAAGAAGAAGAAGAAGAAGAAGAAGAAGAAGAAGAAGAAGAAGAAGAAGAAGAAGAAGAAGAAGAAGAAGAAGAAGAAGAAGAAGAAGAAGAAGAAGAAGAAGAAGAAGATAGAAGGCCATGATCCATCACCAAACCTCTACACTGACCTACACTCAAAACATCCCCATGGAAGGCCACAACTGCTAATGAAGTGCCTACAGCATCTGCCCCATGGACAAACAGTAGGTCATGTTGCCAAGCCACATTCTCAAAGTCCAATTTGAGTATCATAGAGCACAAAGAAGAGGGGTGGAAAAGCCAAGATGGTGCAAGACTCAAAGATGATGCCACTGCCCAGCCAACCGGGCAGGTGCAGAAGGATATCTGAAGGTCCTTGGGTGACTTACTCAGAGTCTCTCCGCCGCTGCAGCTTCGCCAATTCCCTCTGCTTTTCCTTGTATCTCCTCTGCAGCTCAGCTAACTTCATCCGGTAATCCAGTTCCATGGCATCCATGCTCCCAATGGACGATTTAATGGAATACATCTGAGACAAGAAAACAGCAAAGAGTTGGGAGAGAAGGAAAACCAGAACATCTGTCAGTCTCATTCATTCACAGCCACTTATACAGAAATAGAGACCCAACCCCACTCCTTCCTAGCACTGATAAGGTTACCTAGTTGGGTCATAAAATGTCTGCAAGAAAACAACCAATTTCAGAGAACACCAAGGACCCCACAAACCTCCTCCTCCTCCTCCTCCCTTCCAAAACTGATGATATAACCTAGTTGGGTCATGAAACATCTGCAAGAAAACAACCCAGGTCAGAAAGCACTGAAGACCCTACAGTCCAACCCTGAGCTACAAATATTTTCTTCTGTTAGTTCCCTTCAGTAGCTACAATTCAGAATCAAGTTCCTAACAAAATCTGAGTAAGTATTAAGTCTAAGGGTGCAATTCCTAGGATTCTTGACCAGCTGCAGGGCTGACCTATCTAGAGGGCAGAAGATGGCAATTAAGAATTCAATAATATCTTTCTCCCAACAGGTTTCTGCTCTCAGTTAAAACACAGATTGGCTTTTGGCAACCACCTGTGAATCACAAAGAGCAACTTCCAATGAGAAAGGACAGACAGAGCCACATTGGCTGCAAAATAGACCTTGGTGTCCCTCAAAGGTCAGGAAATCTATTGAGATATCCCTTGGGCTGCTTCATCTCACCCAAAAAAACTCTTCCTAACCACTTCCCCCATCTCTGCAAATCTACTCTCCCCATCCTATTCACCGGCTCATCTTTCTTCTGCATCCAGCTGTATTTCTTATTGGGGTCCAGTTCCCGAGGCAGACGGATGTTCTTCAGGCTATCCATGAAGGGGGTGGAGAGGACTTCCATCAGCATCTGGGTACCAGCAGCTAACAGGCTTTCCAAGGCTGGATGAGCTGAGAAGTTCTCTGGACCTGCATGAGATAGGATGGACAAGGGGTTAGGAACAGGAGGGACGTCCAACAGAGAAGGACCAAGGGAAATGCTTAAGCAAACAAAGTCCAACCTTCCTTTATCTAATTCCTAGTAGGGGCTAACCATGAGTTCAGAAGATCCCTGTGCACTAAATCAGTTTAACTGGACCTTCACCTGTGGACCTGGCCTTTCACACCTGGCGTACAAGCCAGAAGAGAAGAGCTTGAGGCTCAAAGCTAAGCCTTGAATGTTGTCTTGAACGGAGGTCCATATCTACTCACCTTCGGTTTCCTGCTGCCGTTTCTCCAACTCCAGTTCTGCAATTTCGCTCAGGAGGGTAATTCCGTGCAGAAAGGTGTGCTCTGGGGACAGGCTAGAAGACACTTCTAAGTTCACCACTGCCTCCTGAGTGACACCACCATCACTGTTTGTGAGCAAGGAACACGCTTGGGGTAATTCAGCTGCTGCTGCTAAGGCGTTCATACCAGCCAATGGGTCATCCATTTTGATATCCAGAGGTGGGAGTGGGCAGGAATACATCTCATTCCTGTAGATGGGGGCTTCTACCGTGGGTTCCCCCTCTTCCTGAAGCATGCTGGGAAATTCCTTGTTTGAGGGAGAACTGATATGGGGCATTTCTACAGCCAACGGTGACTTCTCAGGCTGAGGGACCAGTCCTATCTCAGACTGTTCAGTGTCTCTCTGTAACAAACTTCCACCATAGTCATGAATGGGGCAGGTTTCACTGTCATTGGTCTCGTCTGCTTGGGTGTCCATCTCCACCGAGCAGGACATCTCTGGGTAGGCAGCTTGGCAATCCTCAAGAACTTCCTCGTGGTCTGAAGTCCTGAGGGTTTTGCCGTGGTGCAACTGAAGATCACAACCATCGGCGTCCTCAACAGGGAGGGCAACCGAAGTTGCCATACCCAGGACCTCCATATCCTGTTCACAGCTGCCTTCTTCCTGGCTATTGTCCATCTCCATCTCCGTTTTCACCCGTTCTTCCAAGGATTCTTCCTCCTCCACAGCCTGGATGGGCTTGACAATCTTGGATGGGGAAAGATGAATAGGCTTCACCTCTGGAGAAAGTGTCAAGTGCTCGGGACTGCTGGTAGGCAGAGGGACACTGGAGCCCAACTCATCTGCATCGGATGTAGCGGTTGGCTGGAGAAGGTATGGGTAGTGTCTTCTGAAGGAGTCTGGAAGGGACTGGAATGGATAGCCGGATGGAATTTCTGCAAGAGGGCAGCAAAAATTAAAAACTGGAAGATAAGTCCCATATTTTCTGAGGAGGGTCCCTAACAACAGTGGTCCTCAACCTTTCCAGACTAGAGGAATTTATTTTCCAAACTTTACCATTGACTTGAGTCAAAATCTCCCCTGTTCTAAAAAAGAAGGAAGGAAGGAAAAGAAAAAAGAAAGAAAGAAAGAAAGAAAGAAAGAAGAGGAAGGAAGGAATGAAGGGGAATGAATGAATGAATGAATGAGAAAGGAAGGAAGGAAGGAAAAGAAAGAAAGAAAGAAAGAAAGAAAGAAAGAAAGAAAGAAAGAAAGAAAGAAAGAAAGAAAAATGAATTTCTGTTAACCAGTTTTGGGCACTCAGCTGCACAGTATAGTGGAACTCCTATTGTAGGATGGAAGTCATCTCAAACCAATCTGCTTACATAAACGTTCACATCTTTTTCCAGGGAGAAAAGGAGCTTTGGGAAAGTGGCAGAATTAGGAAAAGACCAAACAGGAAATTTAATAAAAGAAAGTGGATTAAAAAAACAGCAGGGCTTTGTACCTGGAAATAACGTCTGATATGAAGCAGAGGTCTCTTTTTCCAGCTCCAGCTCTTTCTTCTCCATGTTCTCAGTTTCCTCCTCTTCTTTAGGAGGAAGGTTAGGGGCAGGGGGTGGAGAAGCAGGAGGTGGGCTAGATGGATGAGTGATGGGAGTTGTGGGGTAGGAATAGGTCGGCTGGCTTGGTGGTTCCTCCAACTTTTGGATAACCTCAGCTTTGAGCAACGACACAGAAGAGGACCTGGGCGACAGCGGAGGAGGGCTGATCGCCTTATTGTAGGACACAGAAGTGCTTGGAGACAAAACTGGAGGCTTCCGGTGCAGAAGGCTTGAGGCAGACGTTGGCAAACCTGATTTGGCATTGTCCAGGTTCCGTTTAGTGATCTTCTCTTCCATCTCTGCCCGCTGTTCGCTGGCTTTTAGCCTCTCCTGTTGAAAGAAAGGAGCTCTGAAATAGTGGTGGTTCTCCACTGATGCTACATCAACCACAAAGGGGACCCAGAAGTAAACTAGGTTGGACACAAGGCAAGTCATTCAAAACTTGATTAGAAGTGACAAATGCTTGGAAACGCAGGCGATTTTTTTTTTTCCCTGCAATAACGGGAGCAGGCTTTTGGCCAGAACGAATTGTAGACCTTCAGATGTTCAAGAAACATGGATTAATGCATGGGCTGGATTAGAGTTTCTCATAGACAACTTGGTTTTCACTAATTGTCCCACTTTGCCTTGTATAAAAGGAATAGTGTCCAGGAATAACAACACTATGAAAAGGCCAGCTATAAGGCCCAGAACCAAAAAATGGTAAGTGGTGATTCTTCCAAGCTGAGTTCTTTATTGTTTCACAATGATAGACAGAATCTTGCCAGACTGAAGTCTCCACTATCTGCATCTATCTTATACTCTAGGAACTATTAGGGAGGAGCTGTCCTCACCCTCTTTCTTTCACACGATATCTGGGCTGAGTTGCCTCCTAACTCATTTGGAATGCAGCCTCTCCATCTTGGGGGACCACCTCCTTACTACATTCCACCACATCAGTCTAGCTGATTTAATTAATGCTAAGTAGGATCTAGCCAGGTCTTCTCCATTCATCACATCTGGAGACCCATTTTCAGAAAGGAGAGACAGATAAGGTTGGTTTCCCAAAGGCAGTTGCAAGAGTTGAAGCCAAGGGACCTACCACCAACTGGGCATGTGCAGCCTGTTGTTGCAGGAGGTATAGCTCATGCTGACGGATCAGCTGCTGGTGAGATAAGAGCTGGAGCTGGTGAGCGTGCTGGAGGGAGCTCCTGGTAGGAGAATATATGGCAGGCCAGAGAGGAGGTGCACGGTCCATCAATTCTGCTGGAATGAAGAGACAGATTGACTTGAAAACCCATCCAAGCCAGAATTCAAGGACTAAGCAACCTGGAGGTGGGCTATGTACCACTCAGTTGGCCACATATGAACTTTACCCAAAACATGCCAGGCGGAAACAACCAGGCCCATATGTGTAGAGTTCAAGCTAACTACTTTATTATGTTCTGCCTATAATACAGGAATCTCCCTAGTGCCATGGTTCCGACAAATGAGTCCAGTTAAAGCAGAACTCCGAGGCTTGAGTTTTCCTATAAGAACATGTTTATTGGCTACAAAGTCTCGGCCCGGTCAAAAGTGAAACCAAGACTAAAGTCTCCCACCCAAGGAGTAACAATATTACAAAGTTAAACTTCCCACCCCAAAACTATGCAATTAATTACGTCGCCCAATAGAATAGTTTGGCGGGGTTTCTAACATTAGACACAACCCCCCAATCTAATGAACAGAAATGACCTTGGTTCCCAAGGGACAGGAATTTGTTTAGGCTAGCATAAAACTCCCCATCTCCTCCCCCCAATCTTGTGGCAACCAAAAACAAGCAAGATGGCTTCAGCCAGTTCCATTGCAGAGTTGACACCTAGTCTGTAAGCCTACTCTTAGGAACAATTAGATAAGGCTCCAAGGAACTTAGGCAGGGTCAGTTGTAACCCTTTTGTGATTGCCCAGTGACTCCAGGATAATTCCATGCTTGACCCCCTCCTCCCTGCCAGGCTGGTGCTTCCCAATAAGTATCTCTTGTCAGCCATTCCTGGTGGATCAGGCAAGAGATGACCAGATTCTACCTTATTGAACACGAACAATAACTTGCACATCTGAAGGTACAACTCTCTTTGGGTACCTACCGAAGTGGGTCAGGTGTTCACTGGGGATCATGACAAGCTGGCCGGATTGAGGATCTCTGGCAAATTGGTATGCAGAGGGGAGTGCTCCCCCCATGCCAGAAGGAAAAGCAGGGGTCATGCCTTGGTGCAAAGAAGGGTGCCCTGCAAAGAAGACAGGATCAGAAGAGAAACCGATCAAAGGTCGCATGAGACCAGGTGAGATTGTGCCTAAACAAAGATATTTTAGGATTGTACAGCTGGTCACACAGGGAAAACGTAGATATGCATGGATAAATGCATAAATGCATCCAGGTCATAGTTGTCTCAAAGGTGCCTTTTCAAAAGCACTTTTTCTCAAGGAAAAAAATAGCTTTTTTGTTCCTTCCACAAGTTTTTGTTGCCTTTTGAAAAAGCACCTTTGAGACATGCATGGATAATAAAGTAACTGCTGCATCATTTTCAATTCTAGTCCCTTGGGGTGTCTAGAATCATTGCAGGCGCCCACTGTGTTAAGTGACAACATACAAGCTGAAAGAATTCATTTTCCAAGAGCATAAAAAACACACATGAGATTGCTGGACATCAGCATACTTGTTGGGAAACCCTGCTGGAGAATGTGAAATGAATGGGCTTTTTCAAACTTGAAACACTGCCCGGGGGGGTTGAAAAACAGGGCTTTTCACGAAATTTCATGCCAAAAACCCTTCAGAACGAAACATTCACACACACCCCTGATGGATGGTCTAAACAGGAGGCAACTTGGAGTTCATTACCGTAGGGGTGGCCAGTAAGCCACATGGACGAACTGCTGCTTCTGGGTAACCATGGATGGGTCACCAGGTGTGGTGTGGGGTCACCAGTCCACCGTCCTGAACCAGTCAGGGGTGGTCCCCCAGTCACCATGAGGTTGGAGTTTAAGCCACTGGTAGCACAAGTAGCCGGATGGATCCGAGCAAAATCAGCCAATTCTTTGCTTTCTCTGGGGAAAATAAAAAGAAGAGGGGCGGGGAGCTTAGGGACCCAAGTCTTGATGGGTTTCAAACATGGTCCTTCTGTTCTTCATTGGGAGGGGAAATAACAACACTTCAATGGATGGTGGAAGGCATTTGTGGAAGAGTTTCAAAATTGGAGGAGGAGGAGGAAGAAGGAGGAAGACTAGGACTTGGGTCCTTGATGTTCTCTGAACTTGGATGTTTTCTTGTAGACATTTCATGACCCAACTAGATTACATCATTAGTGTGAGGAGGAGGAGGAGGAGGACTACAACTGTGGGGTCCTTGATGTTCTCTGAATTTTCTTGTGGACATTTCATGACCCATCTAGATTACATCATCAGTGGGGGGGAGGAGGGGGGGGAGGAAGTGGTGGTGGTGGTGGTGGTAGTAGAGGTTGAGGAGGAGGAGGAGGAGGAGGAGGAGGAAGAGGGGGTATGTAGTTAACTTCAGATAACTTCTGAACTTAGCCCCTTCTTCATTGTCCTTCCACCAGCCAGCAAGAATGTTTTTGCTTAGACTAAATGGTTAGCTTGTTGAATTTATCTACATTTTTTTTGCTTGGCAATTCTGTCTTTCTCCCTGCTGTTTATTTGCTTTTGCTTTTGTGGCAGGTGTGGCTAAAATATATTTCTCCATTTACAGATAACTTTGGAGAGCTGCACCTTTCAGACTGCAAAACCGCGGGCAGAAAAGGCCCGAGGTTACAGCTAAAGCAGAGCTAGGCAAAGCATCCCAAGCCTAAGGAAGATCACCTGAGCAGTTTCTCCTGGTCTCGCTCCAAACGGCTTGCTAGGAGGTGGTTTTCTCGAAGGCGTGGACGGTCGTCCCCACAGTCCTCATCCAACCGTCCGTGTCCTAAGGGGCAACCGAAACAAAGCTAGCTGAGCCTCCTGTAAATATAATCAAACGTTGAGAATTCTCCAGCCAACAGTTGAAGGTCTAGACCAGAGGGGGCACCAAGGACCGGTTCCGTGGAGAGAGGTTTTTCCACGGACTGGAAGGTGCGTGGTTTTGTGTGCTGCCTGCATCTCATGGATGGGGCTTTGCTTCTTTGTGCAGACCGGTTGCTGGCATGCCGCGACCCAGTACCGGTCCAAGGCCTAGCGGTTGGGGACCCTGTTCTAGACCTCTCCTCAAGAACAACCAGGATCCCAAGATCCCGGATGGAGAAGCCTGAAGATACAGTTAATAGTATAATGGTTAAGAGATCAAGTGGAACCAGAAGGACAGATCACGTCTCCGCTTAATCAGCAAGCTTCAAATGCCTATAGATAAATTCCTGGTTCTGCTCCCCAATGCTGCTAGTCCTTAACGTACAACTGTTCATTTAGTGACCATTTCAAAGTTACAACGGCACTGAAACTTTCACACTTATGACTGTTGCAGCATCCCCACGGTCACGAGATCAAAATTCAGAGGCTTGGCAACTGACTCGTATTTATGACGGGTGCAGGGTCCCTTTTGCAACCTTCTGACAAGCAAAGTCAATGGGGGAAGCCAGATTTGCTTAACAACCACGTTACTAACTTCACAACTGCAGTGATTCCCTTAACCACTGTGGCTAGAAAGGTCGCAAAATGGAGAGAAAAAATCACTTAACCAATGTCTCGTTCACTTAACAACGGAAATTGTGGGCTCTCTTGAGGTCATAAGTTGAGGGCAACCTGTAATAAGAAGATAATCTTCTTATCTTCCATCACAAACGGTCAGTAATTTTTTTCCCCCTTTAAGAACCTGGCATTTGGGATTTGTCTGCCTTCCATCTTCTCGGTCATCTCTGTGGGTACTCTTTTTTTCTCTCTCTCTCTCAAAAGGTGGTTTAAATCGTGAAAGGCTGATGGTAGTAACTAGGTTTCTCCTAAATAAGCTACCTCATTCTTGCAAATGTTTCCAATCACTTTTATTTCCCTGGCATGTTTCCGAACCCCACTGGCACCCCATCCAGGGCACTGCAGCTAGAACCCAAAAACCATAAAATAGCCTACCCCATAATTTCCTTGCTGGCTTAGGAATAATGGTGAATCAGCCTTTCGAAAGGGCGGTCCCGTGTGGCTGTACTGGGGGGGGAGGGTTCTGCATGCCCCTTAATGTCCCAAAGACAACTGACAAACTGCCATTTCATAACCCGCCCCCCCCCCAAATCTTCAATAGGCAATCTTGTCTTTATAAATTTCCTGACATGACATATGAAGTCCGCCTGAGCAAAATTTATCTCCGTGCAAAATTCAATCGGTTATGCACAGAGCCGCGAGGGAAGGAGGGAGGGAGGGAGACAGGGGGGGTGTGTGAAAAAAATATCTCTGGAGGCCCCATTTCCTTGACGACCAACACCCCTCTTCAATGTGTGGTTTGGCTCACCAAATCTTCCTAGATTAGCCAAGTTAAACCCCCCCCCTTGCTTTTCTCTCTCTTAAAAGGGTTGGCACCTTCACGCGCCCTCTGCTTGGCGCAGACCAACTCAATATTATTAATTTTTTTTAAAAAAAAAAAAAGAAAGAAAGGAGGAAGAAAGTCTCCTGGCACGCAAGGACGGGAAAAGGGTGGAGGGGCGAGGGAGAATTGGGGAGGGGGGCTGCTGCGAGACTGGGCAAAAAGGAGAGCCTTGTGCGCCAATTCCATTGCTTAGCAACCAGACAAAGTACAGTCCTTGTTCGCCAGCTCTTATTTCTGCTCAGTAAATTACATTTAACAGAGGCAAGGTGGGGGGAGAGCAGGGGATGGCTGGGGAGGGGGGTATATGGGAGGGGGGTTGGAAGCTTTCAGACCAGCTCAAACAAACACATCTCTTTTGTTGGCTACCAGTCCCAGTTCTTGGCTCCAGACGCAAAGAGGCTGTGGGAACCCAGCCGGAAAAATGAAGTCGGCTGGCCGCTGCACACAAAAGGGCTGAACCAGGGGGGGCCTGGGGGGTTCCAGCGGATGGACAGACGGATTGACAGAGAGGCATCAGAGCAGGTTTGGACTGCAGCTGGCTGCCCCACCCACCCACCCAAAATGGAGAGGTGGGCAAGATGGAAAGAGGGCACCGATGCGCTTGGAAGGACACACAGCTTGTGAGTTGGCAGGGAGAGAGTGGGGGTCCCTATTGGCAAATTTTAAGTTGCTACCCAACACACACACCAATTCAAGACTCCCAATTCACAAATTTCAGCCACATTCTGCCTCTGTGCACCCCCCCCCCAAATTCAAGGGTCTCCTTCTGCAGCCAGCATGTGTGTGGGGAGGGACTTGGGAATATGTTCTTCCCGCCCCCCCCATCTCAAAATCTGGGGAATGTTTGGCCAGCAACCAATTGAATCACTCTTACAAAATTAGCAAAGCAAGAGAGAAGGACCACTATCCATGATTTCAGTGGCCATCAGTTCTTGTTGGGTTTCTCCGATCTTGCAACAAGATGGACACCATTTTTATTCCAGTTTGCACACCTACAGGCCAGTGTCCTTGGGGGGGGGGGAATCAGAAATGTCAAGATGATGGTCTCCATCCTGTGATTTAACCTCCACCCATTTTTTTTTAATATGCCTCTAACCCCTGAAACATCACCATCTTGGGAAATTATCCAGAATTGTACATTTTGGTTAATTTTGTTCATCTCCCCAATGCTCTCTCCCTGGCGTCATTCACCAAAGGTAAGTGAGTGATTAACCAAATGGATCAATTAGAAAACTCGAAATCGTAATTATTAGTTTAAGCTTTGCCTGGATTTTTTGCCCACACGCCACGCTGCCACAAATTCGTGCCTCCATCACCGTAAGCTGCCAAATCAACAAACCTACCAGGATTAAAACCAAACTTGCCTTGACAACGCCTGGTTAAACAGTGAAGGGAAACTCAGCTGGTTTTCACTATTTCACAGCACCACTGCAGATCGTCCTCAACTTACGACGGTAATCGCCTGACTCCATGGTGGTTGTAAGTCAAGGATTTCCTGTACACATTTTGAGAATTCAAGGAAAGCTGGCTGGACTGTTTACCTGAATTCCTAGACATAGTTCAGCAGGGAAACACAAGGTGAGTGAGGTGGGCAGTATTTAAAATGGGATAAATAAATAAAATAAATATTGGTACCAGTCTGGAACCTCTTCAACAGCCACCTTTGGGTAAAAATATTATGATTTTCCATCAAAGGGTGAAGTTAAGCTTCCCCTCCATGTTCTCCATTCATCTCCTTATTTTAGAGGGGCTAAATGCCATGTCCAGGACCCCGATGTTTGTACAGCTTTTCTAAGAGATTATACCCTTCAAAAACAGGGGATAGTCTCTGTAAAGCATCTTAATTTCCAATAAACGTCTGCTTGCTCTCTCCCTCTCTCTCCCACCTCCAATCAGCTTTCACAGAAAATTAAAAATGGATTTTGAACATGGTTATCTACCTGCCTAGAAAGAAAAAAAAAAGCAGGGGATAAAACGTAGGTGGACTGGTAACTTTTGAGGGTATGGGCAAGATAACGGGGACATATCGAACTTTCTGGATCTATCTATCTGCACCCTCTCTAAAAAGGCCAGCCCCATCTGCCATTTTGTCGGAGTGCCCATGACATGCTCTTGAAATGCCAAATTGGTTGAAAAACAGACTGGCTGCAGTGAAGCAATTTTTTTTAAAAAAAAAGCAAACTGCAATAAAATGTAGATGGAAATACACTGCACACATCAGCAGAACTGCACGTGACCCACTGAGAAATTTAACTGGAGGGGGGAGAGAGGGAAGTTGGATAGCCGTTACCGTGACTCATTCTAACAAAATGTTCCCCAAGTTATTCCCACAGAGCTAAGTGGTGTCTGCGAGCTTTCCATAGACAAGACTCGATTTATTTATCTTTATCTTATTTTTTTTAAAAAAAAAAAAAAGTTGGGGGAGTTAGCAAATACATACAGAGAGGCCACGGTTAGAAATCAGGGCTCGGCACATTCTGAAGTTGCCAACTAGCAAAATGAAAGGCAGAGGGAGAATTCATAATTCATAATAATTCAAACAAGACGTCCAGGGAGAGTCTCAATTATCCAAAGTCATAGTTATCCGAAAGGTGGTTTTTTTGCTTTTTTTTTCCCCCCCTCAAAAGGCAACTGGACTTTCTTGGTTTTTGTCCTTGAAGACATTTCTCTTCTTTAGTTCAGAGTGTGCTAAGGACCAGCTGTCTGCAAGAAATATAAATCCTTCCATTCTGCACCATCAGAACTAAAGAAGCTTCTTGGAAGAGAAGCGAAATGCCTTCAAGAAAAAATAAAGTTGCCTCTTGAAAAAGCACCTTTAGGACACCTAAAACCAGACCTAGGTTCCTTCCTTCCCCACTTATTAGCTGCTCACCATTCCATTTCCGCCACCCCTGTCTTGCAGATGTTCTCTACCGCAGAGAACATCTGCAGGAACTGTAGTCCGAAGAGCTGTCAGGGATCCAGACTACAGAGTGCTATAATTTGGGAATTAGGAAAGTCAAGGCAACCTTCCAAACTCTTTCCTCCATCTTTAATTGGCAATATTTCACGATTTCAGAGAAGGCTTAGCTGAAATCTCAACCGACATTGCGCAAAAGCCTTTGGCGTTGGCTACCACAATCTTACAGAAGACCTGCAATTTTCATTTGGCCACCAAATTGGGCGGGAACAGAAGAGATCACACAACAAGGTGGCTGGCTTATCTCCCCACTCAGTAGCCTTCCGGATTAATTTTCTCTAACCACACCTGGTCTGGAGCTTAACTTTGGGTTTCCGGGATCACTCAGAACCAACAGAGATCTACTATATTCCACATCCGGAATGGTCCAGAATCACAAGGCTTTCCATCACAAATAGCTGCCATCATTCAACAATCCTCATTCAAATGGCCATTTCTTCCTTTTTCATTTAATTGCGTCCCCACTTTTAATTATGACGTGTCTGTTGTACGCAGCTACACCCGTCTCTCCTTGCAATTATTCACGAGGCAGAAAACGCTGGGATGTGGTGGCTTCAAACGTTGACTTTGGGTGTGGTTTGTTTTTTAAAAATGAAAGGCAGTTTAGATTCTCTTTCAAATAAAAAAGCAGCTTAGTTGGGAAGGAGCTCTTAGCATCTTACACAAACAAACCTGAGAATTAAGTGACAGTGATTTACTTCGGGGCGATGGTATGTCACATACACCCAAGGAGGCAAGCTCAAAAATGTCCAGCAGATCAACATTTATCCCTAAAAGCAGCACAGAAGAAACTTTTTACCATTTTTTTTTTAACATCTCCTTTCTCGTTCATTTTTTTTCCCTTCTGGTCAACTGTAAACCTATAGACCAAATCACTTTTTTTTTTTCCTCCTTTCCACTGATTTTAAGCCGTTTAAGGAGAAAAGCATGGTATAAAAATGGTTTTTAAAGAATAAAAGAACAATAACATCTGCCCGACAGGGACTAGCAACTTGGAGTAGATTGAAGCAATCCACACTCAAAAGGAATCTCGCCCAGTGGTGTCTCCTGTAAACACCAGACTAGAATTCTCCACAAGCAGAAGGAATTAGATTCAAGAAGGTTAGTCTCCATCTATATGATGTATTTGTGTGTTGGGCTTGTTCTTTTATATCGTGTGTTAATTTTGTGCGCAAAAGACAGCAGTGCAACAGTGACACCCTATGGCATAGCCAACGCATTTCCTTGTAGACTTGGTTTCTTCCCCAAAAATAAAAATGGAAGCTTGCATGAAAATATGAAGCTTCTTCAACCCTACCAAGATGGTTGACCCTGAAATCTGGTATCAGCCTCAGATATGATGGCCTTGTACCGGCTCCTTGGTTTGAGCATGAAAACAAAACTGACACAGAGAATTCACTAGGCACAAAAGTTCTTCACAAATGAAGGTGAATCGACGGCACATAGAATCCTGGGACGCCCAGGATAATGTTGCTGGATCCAATCTGGGTCAGTCACTGGGACCAGAGATTTACGCTTCCAAGCTTTCGGATTCGTGCTGAAGACCATCTCCTCTCACCAGAATGTTTGCTCTATTCCAGGGGTCTTCAAACTTGGCCACTTTAAGACTTGTGGACTTCAACTCCCAGCTGGCTGAGGAATTCTGGGAGTTGAAGTCCACAAATCTTAAAGTGGCCAAGTTTGAAGATCCTTGTTCTATTCTATTCTAGCCAGCCATCAACACCCCAATCAACAAATAAAAAAGCCACCCACAACCAAGCACCACATAAAGCACACACTGGCGAGAGAGAAGTTCCCTGAAAAAGGGGTCCAGCACAAGTCCAAGAAGACAAATCCTTTCTTCCCGGTGACCGACCCAGATTGGATCCTGCAACAAAGTTCTTCTGTAAAACATCAAGTCCCTTCTCTCTCCTAGAAACAGCACTACCATAATAATCAACACCATCATGACTCTGGCTCAAAGGTCACCTTCCCGTGTTATCCCCTCTGACTTTTTTGCCCAAACTTTCCGAAGATGCTAACAATTTGGAGAATTCCCATAGCCGATTCCCATCTGGCCAACCTTCGCAGCTTATTGATGAGAACTTTGGTTCCCATTAACTCTCTCATCGATACCGTCAATCCAGCAGTTGCAACTGTCCCATCCAGAGCTCGACGCTTCCCTGCCCACAGCCTACCTTTCACGTTACTCAAGGAGAGGGATCGATCACGGTCCACGAGCCCCAGCTTTCCGCCACTGCTGTTGTCCTTCTGACGGGCCACCGCCACCGCGATGCCAACGGGGAGATGTCTCACTTCCACCTCTCCTTGAGATCCGATGCTCTCTCGTCCGAAAGATTTGGCACTTTCCGGTCGTTCAGGTTCCTTCTTCAGCTGCTTGCCAGCTTGGTGGGACAGCAGCTGCTGGACCTTGGGGGAAGGCTGTCGACCAGGGTCCAGTTTCATGTTGCCCAGACCCCCAAAAGGGGTTTTCTTACCAGCCCCCTGCCGTGAGGATGCCTCTTTAGCAAAGCTCCCGCTGTACTTGATGAGGCTTTGCATGGCAGATCCTTCCCCGTGCGACGGAGGAGGGTGGAGGCCGTCTGTCACACTCCGGGCTCCCACGACTGAGGACCTCTGTAGGTTGCTGGGCTCCAGGTAGGTCTTCTTGACTTCCTCCTCCACCCGGTTGGCATGGTTGTGTTGGGCAGCCAGAACAGCCATCTGGGTGGTGGCAAAGTTGCCCATTTCAAAAGGCTTCCACTTTTGTTCCGGGGGCTTCAATTGTTGGCTGGGATCTAAATGCTGCCGAGAGGAAGAGGATGAGGATGAGGAAGAGGTGTCCAAAGTGCCATAGATCTTGGCCGCTTCTTTGCAGCCAGGTCTTTGAAACCGGTCCCGCTCACAGGAGTGATGTTCTGCCTCCAAGCCAGCTTTGGGCAAGTCCTTCAAAGGGAGGAATTCCCTGTTTTCGGGGGAGCGTAATCTTGGCCTGTTCAAGAAGGTTTCTGAAGCCCCCTGTTTCTTCAGGAACATGGAGTTGGCCCTGATGACCGAACTTTTCTCCCGCAAGACCTCCATCCGCTTGGCATCTCCATGGAGGGAGAACTCTTGGGCCAAAAGGTTGTGAGAAGCATCAGCCAGACACCTCTTGGGCACCGCCTGGAGGACCCCCACTCGGTTGGCAGCAGGGACCTCCTTCTCCTTCAGTTTGGTGTTGTCCCGGGCTTGGGAAGCTATCTGAATGGGGCCTTTTCTCTCGTCATAAGCCTCAAGGGAAGGCATGAAGGTGGGTGCGATGACCTTGTGCTCCCTCCCGGAGTCCTTGGTCAAGGGGAAGATGGTGTACATGTTGGGGTGGATCGGCTGGGGAGGGAAGGCCGAGGGCGGGGGGAGCTTCCCGGGTTGAGCTGGAGAAGGACAACTGCAGGCCACGTGCAAGTTGGCCACCGAACTGACCGCAGAGTCGACTTTCTTCAACCGGTCGGAGAAGACGTAAGGAGGAGGCCTTACATTCTCGTCATGTCTGCTGAGGTCCTTGGGACAGTGGTCCAGCTCCGAGCCCTGGGCGCTTCCACCCGTGTTGCAGTTGCTGAGTGAAGAGGTCTGAAGTGGGTTCTTGGACTTTGGTTCTCCGCTGAAGATCCCCCGGTTGGGCAACTGTTCCGCCAGGAAGGGAGACAAGCGTTCCCCAACCTTAACGGCCTTCTCAAATCCGTTCGTTTTCCTCTCGTTGTCCGGCTTGGTGTCCTGGGTGAGATCCACCACGCTGTGAGGCCGGGACTCCTCACGCAGCTTGGCGTCCTTCTTGGCCAGGGACAAGGAGAGGTTGCCCCGGTAAGATCGGTCCTTCCCACCGAGCTCTTTGGGGCTGTCCTTGGAGGTCCTGTGCGGATGCCCAAAGTCCTTTTCGTGGAGCAGGGCGCTTGAGGTGGGGTTGGGGACTGCCCTGGACGGGGTGGCCTGGGGGTGCAAGGCAGCTTGTCCTGCGTGCCCAGCAAGGTAAAATCCATCTGCAAATCAAAGAGGGAGATCAATTCTCTTGGCCACACAAATCCAAGTGTACAAAACTGTTCAAGGATGAAGTGGGCTGGCCCTAAAATATGCCAAGTCAGATGTTTTTTAACCTTGGAACAGATGGTTTCAAATTCTAATTTGCAGGCAAAATGGCAAGGAAGGGAGAGAGGGGGGGGGAGATGGAAATGAGAAGAAGGAAGGAAGGAAGGAAGGAAGGAAGGAAGGAAGGAAGGAAGGAAGGAGATGGAAATGAAAAGAAGGAAGGAAGGAAGGAAGGAAGGAAGGAAGGAAGGAAGGAAGGAAGGAAGGAAGGAAGGAAGGAGATGGAAATGAAAGGAAGGAAGGAGGGAGAAGATGGAAAGGAGAAGAAAGAAGGAAGGAAGGAAGGAAGGAAGGAAGGAGGGAGGGAGGGAAGAAGGAAGGAGATGGAAATGAGAAGAAGGAAGGAAGGAGAGAAGGAAGGAGAGGCTAACCTTTTGGGGTCTCAAAGAGGCTGTGCTGATTCAACTGAGCAAGTAAGGGGGTCCCGCTGCCGTGGGGTTCCAGGTGACTCAAAGGAATGTATGAGGGGTAGAGACCACTTGGCAAGTGGGAGAAACCTAAAAAGGAAGAAAAATTCACAGATCAGCTCAGGATTCAAAGGGCTCCCCCCCCCATGTTGCTTTCTCCCTGCCCTTTCCCTCCCCTCCCCCATGTCCTCTTTTTTTCCCCTTAGCTTTTTGGTATTTTCTTTTAAATTTAATTTTAAAAAGTTCCATTAAGAAACCGAAAAGAAAAAAAAGTCGGGCTGTTCAACTGTCCTGCTGACGCTGCCTTCTTCCCTCCCTCCGTTTGTTTTGTCAAAAATATGAGGGGGGGGGAGGAAACCCTGACAAAAATGAGCAGAGTTGACAGTTAGCAATGTTACCCCTCAAAAAAAAAAAACCCCAAATTTCTGAAAGTGGTCAAGAAATGGAGACCAAACAGCTTCCTAAATTCCTTCTGCAATTTATTTGGCCACAGAGACAAGCTGGTGGCCACTGAAGGGAAGTCCAAAGACCAACATCTCACTTCTCCATCAACTCCCCGTCCCAGGAGGCAGCTGACACCCCCAGCACCCCCCCCCCAATTGAGGAAATGGGTCTGCAAGTGCTTGGCGATTCCGTTTCCATCTGGGGGGGCATCAGGGGTTTGGGAATCCTTGAAGCCGAGACAGACTCTAAAATGATGGGCTTGGCGGTCAAAGTCACAGGGGAGGAAGTCAAACGGGGGGGGGGGGAGGACGAGAAGGACGCCTTGGGGCTTTGATAAGAGGGCACCTCCAGCTCGGCCAGGTTGTGGTCTCACAACCCCACCCGCAAGCAGTGGGTGCCAGGAAGGCAATCATTGTGCAATTCAAAGAAAGAGGAAATGTCACCGAGCAGCCGTTTTGACAACCCTCAAGGTTGCAAGGGAAAGAAAAGGAAAGAAAAGGGGGGGAAAAACCAATGCAAAGAAAAGTAAACATTAAATTAAAAAAAAATGAAAGGCCCTCAGGTTAAGACATCTTGCCCAAAAAATGGGAGACCTCAGTTTTAGTCTGGGTGTCCTTGGGCCAATTACCAGGAGACAGTGAGTTCTAGTCCCACCTTAGACATGAAAGCCAGCTGGGTGACCTTGGGCCAATCACCAGGAGACGGTGAGTTCTAGTCCTGACTTAGGTGAGAAAGCCGGCTGAGTGATTCTGGGCCAATCACCAGGAGACGGTCAGTTCTAGTTGCACCCTAGACATGAAAGGCAGCTGGGTGACTTTGGGCCAGTCCCTCCCTCTCAGCTCAATCCACCTCACAGGGTTGTTGTGGGAGAAAAATAGGAGGAAGAAAGAGTTTTAGGTACGTCCTTCACCCTTTATAAAAAAAATAAACTAAACCACAAGCTTTTGTGAACTTCCAAAGAAAGTCAGCAAACTGGCTGGCCGAAATCTCTGCAGATCAGATTTAGAATATAGGTTGAAGGTCTTCCTCTGGCCAAGAGGGAAAAAAGAAAAAAGAAAACTCAACTTCTTTTCTGAAAACAACAAGGATGTGCAAAAGCATGTTTGTAGATCAAAGGTGTCCCATTTTGGCAACTTTGAAGACATGTGGTGGCTTGTGGGAATTCAGGGAAATGAAATTCGTAGGTCTTAAAATTGCCAAGGTTGCTGTACACGCCTGCTGTAGGCTGAAAAACAGCATTCCCAAATTTCACCTGGGTGATAATAATAATAACAGCAACAACAACAATAATAAAGTTGGAAAGGACCTTGGAGGTCTTCTAGTCCAGCCCCCTGCTCAGGCAGGAAACACCATTTCAGACAAATGGTTGTCCAATCTCTTCTTGAAAATCTTCAGTGTTGGAGCATTCACAACTTCTGGAGGCAGGTTGTTCCGTGGATTAATTGTTCTAACTGACAGGTTGTGCAACACAACAATAAACCCTCCTTCTCTCAAAGGACAAATGTGACATTTTTACACTGGTTGTATCATTTCCCTTTCTACAGTGCAGTCGTTGTTCTGGCTTTCCCTGCTCCCATTCCACCCCAAGGGAGGCACCAGGAAGCAATTATTCCAGACGCAGAAATGTCAGGAACCAGGGTGGCTTCCTAGGAGGAACAAACGTGGGATAGACAAACAACCTAAACAGGAGCTGCACCCCTTCTGTCACTTCCAGCACTCACCCCAGCTCAAATCCATCCATAAAGAGAAATTTGGAAGGAATTCTCAACCCTACGGTGAAGAAGCTTAAAAAAAAAACGAGATCCTTGTGCAAGTTAAGAAAAGTTAAGAAAAAACCAATGAGAACATGGTCCAAAGCGTTACGGCCGGGGTCTCTTCGCCTTACAATCAGAGGCCGATGTTCAGATGTTCTTTTCCTTTGGCAGCTTTCTCTTCAGTACTGCCCCACACCTGCTAACAATGCTTCCCAAAAGCTGTTGGGAAGAGCCCAGCATGTTTTCTGCTGGAGACCAGCTCCTCTCCGGATGGGAATGCATTACGCAGAGCGGCTGGAATCCAAGCGTTTTAAGGGTTGAGCGCCTTGGGGGACTTCTCCTTCCATCAAGCCATCTTTTGAAGGATGATCTATCTGTCATGGTTCCGAAGAGATGTTCTTGCTTGACACTATCATTAGTCAAGGAGAGAGAGAGACTCCAGAAGCCTGGAGGAGGGGAAGGGGGTTGTTGAGGGGGCATTGCCATGTTGCGTAAAGGGGAGGGGGGGGAAGGCTGAGCACATTGCAAACTAAAAGATGGCCAACACTGCAAAAGTGAATTTGCTTCCTTCTTTCGAAGGTGGAGCTTCCCTTCTCTTGCATCCAAGTCCCTTGGGATTCTCAATGTCACTCCGAATGCCCCCCAAATAACTCTTTTTTTAAGTGGTTTGTTTGACTACTTCGGATGAAAAGAGCAACAAAGATGATCAGGGGACTGGAGGCTAAAACATATAAAGAATGGTTACTGGAATTGAGTATGTCTAGTTTAATGAAGAGAAGGACAAGGGGGGACATAATAGCAGTCTTACAATATCTCAGGGGCTGCCCCAAAGAAGAGGGAGTCAAGCTAGTCTCCAAAGCATCTGAAGGATAAGACAAGAAGCAACGGATGGAAACTGACCAAAGAGAGAAGCAACCTAGAACGAAGGAGAAATTTCCTGACAGAACAATTAACCAGTGGAACAACTTGCTTCCAGAAGCTGTGAATGCTCCAACACTGGAAGTTTTTAAGAAGAGACTGGACAGCCATTTGTCTGAAATGATATAGGCTTTCCTTCCTGAACAGGAGGTTGGACTAGATGACCTCCAAGGTCCCTTCCAATTTTATTATTATTATAAATTCGGACGGTCACTAAACAGTTGTAAAGCTGAGGAGTTCCGGTGCAGGGAATCCTCGACTTAACAATCATAATTAAGCCTGCCATTACGGTTGTTAAGTGGGTCACTTACCAAAGTTTAACAAAATGTGTGAATCTGGTTATTTTGAATGGAGGTGGGGAAGACCGAAGCCTCTTTTTAACCTAGTTTGTTTATCTTTCATTTCTGCGTAGTTTGTTATTCTGCCCTCTCTACCTTTCCTTTTGTTTCCCCATTTCTCGTTTTTCGTGTTTTGAATAATTTTAAAACCATCCAGAGGTGATGGGGAGTCGGGTGGCATAGGCATTTAAATAATAACAATAACAACAACAACAAAAAGAAGTCACACAACGGGACCTCCTGCTTGTCAGCTTTTGATTTGGTAGCAGCTCTTTGAAAGTTTAGCCTCTCCTCTAAAGGAAAAAAACAAAAAAAGATTCTAGTCCTTATTGGCCAGACTATAAAAGTGAAGACTCCATTCAACCTTCTGGCTAATCAGAGTTACTGGAAGCCAGGTGACACATACATGTATTATTATGGTTGATCACGCAGTCAGCCAGATGTTTAGACTGGGTTTGGCATTTTTGTCTACCTATTGAGCCCCTCCCAAGGACGTAACATAAGCAGATGTTGTTTCGTAATATGAAATGCCGCAGGGTTGTTACGATGATTACTAATCAGCCAGCTCTCCCGTTAAACAAAAACTCTTTTCAGAAAAAGAAAATAAAAGGTAAACAATCTTGTGTTGGCACACAAGTCTTAACCTTTGGGACCGCCAAACTCTTTGAACACCTGGGAAAATCTACAAACCCATTCTCATAAAAATTAATTTAAATACACCAATACAGGCCATACAAAGCAAGCCAGTCAGACCAAAATACAGTTATGAAAATATGTGTTTTTTTAAAAAAATCACAAGTGTAATGTAGTAATACATCCGCTAATTTATTCGCCCATCAAACCAATAACAGGACAGGCTAAATTTCAAGGGAAAGTTAAGGATAACCAAAGTTGTTGTTTTTTTCCCCCACCAAAATTTTAACCCCCCCCCTGGACTGTCTCTAAGCTGAGGGCTTCAGGGTGCCAAGGTTAAGCCCTCCCCCCAGCTTAGCCAATCCATGTGTCCCCCCCCCCCCGCAGTGTCCCTATCCCCACCCAGCCTACCTCGCAAGATCCAGGTAAGCAATTACCACCTTCGTATATAATATGCTCCCCTTGCTCCTCTTTGGAGAAAGGGCAAGATGTAAACACAATAAAGGTAATTGCTTAATTGCTTAATCATTTTAAACCCAGAAGAGTTAATCGGCTAAAAAGACATCTTTAAGCAGTTGGCAAGGCTTGGCAAAGGGTGGAGACTGGTGGAGAGGGGGGGAGGGAGAGAAAGAGAGAGAGCAAAATCCTGCTTATGTGGCAGCAATGATGCCGTAGGGTTGCAATCATCAGAAGGGGAAGTGGCGTGCAAGAAAACATGCGATGTGCAGCGCATGGCTTCTGTGGGACAGAAGGGCAGTGCAACAGCTGGGAATCTTTGGAGCACAGATCAGCAATCCACAAAGGAAAGCAGACAGGTGGGTTGCAACCCCTCTTAGGAGAAGTTTAGGAAACTGACCGGGTGGGTTTTTTTTTTTTCACACCAATGTGACTCTGAACCACTTAACCATCTCACTTAGCAACAGAAACCTTACGGTCAATTGTAGTTGAGGACTACCTGCATTTCTTCCACAAAAGGTGCAATGAAATTATATTTTACTTCGCA